AGGCTGGCGGCGCAACGGTAGGCTTTTTCCAAATCAGATGCCGGTCAACCATCCAAGTGTAGAGTTTCGACGGGTCGAGCTTGTCGTTGTTAAAAGACATCGATGTGACGAAAGACTTGTCTTCTTCGTCGAATGGGGGGCGTATAAATTCCTCGTCGTCTGAGTCAGAGTCCTTGTGTTGCCGCTTTTTCGCTCTGCTCTTCGCTTCTTCGTCTGTCTGAACTTCCTTCTTAAGGGCGTTGAGGAACTTCTTCGCGTTCTCGATGCGTTGAGGGAAGGACTTCGTGGCAGGGATGACGTAATTGTTTGCCTTAATCTGATCTTGAACCTTGTTCGACCAGTTGTGTAGATAGACTCTGTCGGGTGGCTTTCCGTAGCCAACCTGCCACATGTCATGCAGCGCACTGGCTGTACTTGACCGACGAAACGGCATAAAAGCAACAGTTTGGCTTGAACTGATCGCCAGAATCCTGCTCATAGTTCTTGACGCTGGTTCGAAGACACAGCGCCGTCTCAACCCGCGGACACGTCGCATTGACATTCGCTGCGGCGATCGAGAAGCAATGTGATGAACAATTGTCGCCAGCTAGTTGGATTTGGCCTTCAATCGGAAGACGTGTGATCACAGATATCACAAAGTGGACGGTGTCATCGTCCTTATCAGATGCTTGATGCATCTGAAAGTCGGGCGGTGACCTAAGACTGGGCAGTGGCGTAGCCGTCAAATGTGTCAATGTACTTCGTCCATGACTGGAGGGCTTAGACTGCTTAAAGATTGTGATGTAGGTTTTATGATGAACGCCTAGGTAGAGGTAGAAAAGTGAGGTCAGTTCCCTCATTGCTGCCCAATATGACATAGTATTGCAGTGCTGCCTGTCTCTACCCAGAGATCACTGTATCAATGGGCAAGATACTCCAGTAGTCGGGTATATTGACATCATTGATGGCGACAGGAACTGGGACCGTCGAGACTTCGTGGTAAAGAGTCGCGAGAGGGTTTGACGTAGCTTTGATTCGATACCCAGGAAATCAAACTTTGAATCAACCGCGACTCTGTTATGATCGAATGGATGAGGTGAAGTAAAGCTGTACTCTCTCGAAAAGACATGATCAAGCATACTCAGAGGGTATAAGCCTGAAAAGCCCAACCCTGCCCGCGACAAAGCAGCTGCATTCTTCGAGTTTGTTTTAGATCCTGATGCTCTTGCGGACCCCCATGCGATAGACGGCGAAAAAAAATATCCCACAGGGCTTATGAAGTCTGAATTTCGATTGCTGATGCTGACCAGGAAAACATCCGACTCCGTACCTGTGCTCCGTTGAGCCGGGAGATTAAATCGGCTTTGATCAAATTTAGAGGACAATGTTTGACCTGAGACAAGCCATCTGCTTCCACAGAACGTCGCTTGTTTGCATTGACGCGGAACAGGGTTGACTTGATTGCAGAGATGAGGAGTGCACCTGTGGATTCGCAATATCTGGGGAACGATATGAATATGCACCAGGCAAATATTTTCATTTGTGACGTCGGGGAAGCACTAGCACGCTGGCTAAATTAGTTGCCCGAGTTGCAGGTTGTTCATGATTGCTGTGAATACTTTTGCTATGGACGTTTAGTGAACCAGTGCCGTTTCGAGTTGACAAGACTTTCATCAATCGATGAAATGTATCTCGAATAGAGTCATCCATGGCAGCAGCAGTACGCGAGTAATGTGCTTGGAAACAGTGATGCACTTCTGGTTATCCAGAAGTCTGACAGGATTTCGTTTCACTCTTTGCTTCGACTCCGCTGAGACTGATATAATCAGCAAGTATTCATGTAACGGTAGATTGGACGAGGAGGAGGGAAGGAAGACTTACAGTATTCCTCTTCGAATCCATTGGATTGGCCCTATTAGGTACGATATTACAAATCAACTCTGATCGATGCCCATTTTGTCACACCACTGCAGGCGCAATACCCTCTCGTACTTCTCGATACTCTTTGGTCGGTAGTCGGGGAGGCTTTAATGCACCCAAGACCCGGAGCTAGCTTGGTATCACGACTTTCGTCATTGATGCCAACGTGTAGCTACTGCAACGATGGCTTCAGTGCGTGACTGATGCTTGATACATCTGAAGCCACGCCTCGAGTTCTGGAAGAAAAGTCCTCGGCTGTATGACGGAGCTGCTACATGCAAGACTATTTGTTGCTATTGAGATCAATGCTGTAGAGCCGTGATAACTCGATGACATCGTGTATGCGGATATGCTCGAAGCCACAATTCTCTGCATGATTGCTCGTACCGAATGAGAGAAAGAATGGACCGATGTAATATTGGCCAGGCAGCAGCAGAAGAGGTTGGTTAGATATTATAGTTCTGGATAAACTTGTTAGAGAGAAGGGCAAAGATATGTATATGTAGGAGGATGACTCGACAAGCTATAGTGGTTCAAGGTAGGAGGAAGAAGAGGGATGAAGAATACATTTCCAAACCTGAGAATAGTATACCAATTCATGCTAGTCAATAGATGAGCCTGGAACAAAAAACGATAGTTCAAGTAGATCAAGCGTTCAAATATCTTGCTTCGATAGTTGAAACCATTACCCGGATGAGATCTGCGCTTGCGGCGCTGCGACAACCTCCTTCGGAGTATTTGTGGTGCTTTGCATATACGGATAAAGCGAATCTTGCATAGGTAGCAGAGTAGAGGGCAGCGCCCCAATGGGAAAATTTGCCATACACTTGGGAGTCAATAACCGGGCAGGAGGAGTCCCTTGTTCTGAGCCTCAGCTTTCTGCCGCATCTCCGCGGCTTTCTCGCGTCTCCATTTCACCTCTGCCTCCTCCGCCACTGCCGCTTTTCGAGGCTCTCGGCCTCTCGCAGCTGTTACCGGCAAGCAAATAATTAGCCCAGCTTCAATCGACCTGCCAATGCTTTCGGTCTGGACTTACCAGCACCTCATGAGAGGTGTCCTTGTTTCCAGCCCTTTGCGGGTCTGTCTTTTCTCTTGGACCTTCTTCTGGTCCTTCTTCCGCAGAGCCCGAAGGCGATTGTCCGCTGGGACCGGCTCGTCCATGGAATCAGCCCAATGATTTGATTGGCTGTCTTTCGCTCGCACATGAGCAATGCAAGGTACTTTTGAATTCTTCCAGACGACGACGCGAGATCTCTATATAAGAATGATGACTTCTCGATCAGATAGTGCGAGAGACGGTCCAGATGATCTGGGATAATCCCAACCGGGCTTGTCAATCTTCCTGACTCATCTTGAGTACTTCAACTGTCCCCTGCGTCTCCAAGTGCAATACGCTCTTGGGCAAGCCAGACTGTCTAGAGTCGGATGAAGCAAAGAGGTGATCCGACTTCCTTCGACATGGTAAGCTGTCTGATGCATAATCTCCTGATTTATGCATCGCCGCCAGCGTAGCCATGAAAGACACCCACCCACCCAGACAGAATTTTGATCATTTGTGCCTGTGCTTTCATGTATTGTACCACGTAGCAAAGAATTGCTCTACGCTCTGGCACATTAAAGTACCAAAACTACTGCCGTGTGGCGTGGGAACCCGCCGCCATATACAGCCCTATAGCTTCAATACATGCAAAGTTCCTTGCCAGATCTGTGCCGCGGTATCCGGGAAGTTTCCGGACACGGCCCGTGTAAAAGGAGAGAGGGATTTCTGATGGAAGAAGTCTTCGTCTTGAGAGATGGACAAGCAAGGTGATGCGTCTCGTTGAATGACGAACGAGATCACATCGACAATTCGCATAGCAAAGGCTTGAAAGGCCCTCCGGCCTACTGGCATTGCCAGGTTTAACTCATTCGAGAGTATCCACTCAGTGGGTCAATACCGGGCTCCTGTCGGGCTGGTCGCAGTCACCCCGGGACGGGTGGCGAAACTGGAATCGTCCCCGTTTTCCCGCCGTCACAATCAGTCAGGAAAAGGTGGCGTACTCTATCTGGAAGCCAGGACCTCCGTGACAGGCGGAGAAGCTGGAATCGCTCCCATTTCCCAACCGTTTTGATGTATCAGGAAAGGTACCATGCTCTGTCTGGCAGGCCACGGATATCTCGGGGCAGATGGCGAAGCAGGAATCGCCCCCATTTCCTAGCCATGACCATAGTTATGGAAATGAAAATCAGGTTCCATGAGGTCGAAAGAGGTGAGTGGTGGTGTATGATGGAAATCAAGTTGACTGGGGTGGAGACTGATGTTTGTTGTCAAGAACAGATAGCCATATACTGGCTGGGTTAGCACCGCATTGCTTGGTAGAATGGGCACTGCGGACTTACCACTGCAGTCAGCCAGTCAGGCAGATTCCGGTAGCCCATTACATCTGTAGAAGTTCTATCGATTTGGGACAGAGAGTGGTCGAGCCCATTTTGTCGACCAGGAATCCTGCTGGCCCAATAATCGAAGAAGACAGGATATCGACCCCCCATGGATGATGGGTAACGGATATGACTCCGTGTGTAAAGCCGGCGGATCAATGTCTGGCATCTTGGTATGTCATGTCCGGTTATCACGGATTTTCTTGTGGAACGGGATGTCAAACAGAAAGGTTTCTGAGATTTGAAAATGGTATGGGACGAGACCTCGAATTCAGGAACATGGGGTAGAGATGCGATAACTTGAACATGGATTTTGTTTGCACTGATGGAACAGAGATCGATTAGAACGTGTGGAATGCGATACAAGGGCAGTCCACATCGGGATGGCCATGTCTCAAGACTGGAAGTGAAACAAGATCAAGAACAAAATGGAGATCAGAAACTAAGTCTTCTCATGTTTGAGGTTTGGGTTGTTCTAGTCAAGCTTTATGCATGGACTTAGTCTCGTTGAGGAAGTTCCTAGTAGAATTGTGGAGGGAGATGGAAGAGATGTACTGGGGAAAGATCAAGTGAGTCAACGCAGTACTGAGGAAGAAGATGGAAGAGATGTAGTGGAGAGGAATTAAATCCGTCAGACTGGAAGCGAGATGTCGAGCTAAGTCTCCAGCCAGCCATATTCACGAGAGTGGTCAATAGAGATATTAACAACGGCCCAGGATTGGTATTAACCGAAGTAGAATCATATTCATCCATGACTGGGCGACAGCCCTTGAAGCGATGTGAATGGGCTGGGTAGTTCCATTCAAGGGTTCGCTTATTAAGAGGTTGGTAGGTAGTGAAATTCCGAATGAAAGTACAGGCTGTGAATGGTGTCTGGATTTAGCAAAGTTCTTTCTGCAAGCGAGAAGATAGTAGAGGGCACCATGTTGCGGCATCCCACAAGTTCCGTTGTCCGCTAATGCGCAGCAAGGAATTCCATATGAGTGGTAAGGCCAAACCAGCATGGGAATTGTATCCCTGTCCCTGGCTTTGGCGAAGGTTCTAAGATTGGTCAAACAATCTCTAGCAAAGACATGTGAGATATAAACGTGGCATTCATGGCTTAATTTCAATTAGACTGTCGGACTATCCGAGACAAAAGTATGAAGCACCCAATCTGTGAACAACGAGATAAAACATCTCCTCTCGAATAAAGTTCATGTTGATCCACATATGAAATCAAGCGTAGCAAACTCATCATGGAAAATTAAACCAGCAAGTCAAAAATCTCCAGGAAGATATTCTTGTTGACCGAGACCGGCCGGTGCGGAAGCCCCAGCAACTCCGCCACAGCCAACTGCGCGGTGCGCACACTGTAATCCAGACTCATGGTGGTGTCATCCGGAAGTTCCGCAAACTGCCCCAGCAGCGCCACATTAGTCGTATTGAGAGGAATCACCAATGGGCGGTCCTTTGCACTACGCGTCAAGAACGGCGCCGTCCCCACGGGCATGCCACATGGAATCGTGATCGCGTTCTCCACCAGCCTCAACTCCTCGGACGGAAGGAAGTTCAGGTGGGCCAACACCTCGGTGAAGATCTCTTTGCCGGTGCAGGCGAACATGGGCTTCTGCACAAAGTTTCCCTCCTCGGACGGACGCAACGCGTATCCGCACAGAAGGTGCACGTCGTCCGGCTGGGAGGCGAAGATGGGCTGGTGGGGAACACTGATTGTCAGCGACCAGTTGCTCTTGACCAGGGAGAGGAGGGCGCCAGTGCCGGCTTTGTCTTGCGTGAGCTTGTCGTAGAGCTCCATGAACGAGGTCCCGCGTAGGGTGGTCGTGAAGGTCTCGATGCCCGACTCCAGCGGACGAGACAGAAAGGTCATCGGGTCTCCGAATTTCGGGGATTTGCGGGCCAGGGTCTGCCACAGACGCCATTCGCGGAGGAGAAGGTCCTCCCAGTTGGACGAGAGGAATGGTGGCGGGTGGTCGTTGGAGCCGAAGACGGCCCCGGAGCGTGAAAAGCCGACGTCGATCAGACAGATGTCCTGGGGGTCGAGATCGATCAAGCACTCTCGGTCGTCTTCCATCACGGTGATCTCGGAGACCGTGGTTGGGTCGCTGTCGGGATAGAACTTGATATCTTTGACTTCAGTGTGGTAGCGGAAATCCACTTTCTCGTTCTTTAGGTACCGGGTGATGGGAAGAACGATCGATTCGAAGAGGTTGAATCGCGTGTGAATGGATTTATCGACATCGTTCAGAGTCTGGATGTCTTCGAGGTATTTCCGAAGATGGCGGCGGAATTCGACTGCGCTGTGCCACGGCTGAAATGCGAATCTGAGCCAGGAGTCAGTAGCTATGCATGGCCAACTATGTCTGTTCTAAACCCACAGAAGGATGCTTACGTGGTGGACCATAGGGACCAGAACCCTGTGTCAAAGAATGGTTTCTCGAAGACTTGATCGATTGTTTTGGCGTGCAGCGCTCGCTCCGGGTTCACGATGAACTTGATGAGCTCCATCCGATCCTTCAGACCCAGTTGAATGCCCTTCGTAAACACCGCTTCGGTGCCGGAGGAATCCAAGCTCACAGCTCGCGGAACAGGATGCGGCAGTCCTCTGTGTGGCAGTTGACATCGAAACTCACGCACATCATCCGCCAGCGATTTGCCATCATGCTGGACATCCGGCACCAGATCGAGGAGCTCCTTCACACACTCCCCATGGAGGTAGGGAAGGCAGTAGAACGGAAGCGAATAGCCGTCTTCTGCATTTCCGGAAACGATCATCTCACCTCCCACGTCGGAGTGGAGGTCGAAAATATGGATATGGGCACCGGGAATGCCCCCTTTCCTGATAAGATAGACTGCTGCAACCAGGGAGGCCAACCCATGGCCGACCAGCCATGCTTGGATGTTGCTTGGGTCTTGCCTGCAGAGATCGGAATTGTGCTCCATTGTCAGAGTGTAGAATCTGATGACAAATGTGGTGATGCAATAATTCTGTCGCAGAGTACAAGTCGCTCGCTCTTGCCTATTTATGCCTATGGCCGGCCGAGACAGCCGAGAGTGCTGCTCATGCTGATAGTCTTACGATTCTCGCCACAAGCATGAATCATATGCTGACTTGTTCCGAGGTTGTGTTGTGCAACCATGCAGTACTGCCGACGAGGCCTGCTTGGTACTGGATCGTACAGGGTGAGTGGGCTGATGCTGACATTAAGTTTGACAGAACTGAGTCGAGCCAGACTTTCGCATGTTGGAGGAGCGAGAGCTGCGAGATGCATTATATCATAGGCAGGGACCTTCTTTGTTGGCGGTTCGTATCGCCAGAGCCGACTTTTGACGAGGGCTGAAATCCCGGGTATCAGCGGGTATTTGTGGCTAACCAAGTCGTACATCTTGTCTTATGCTCGTGCGATTCCCGAGCTCGATTCTAGTATCATCCGACCTGATATTCTGCTGTGTCTTGATAATCACTATACACGATACAATGCAGTCAGACGACTCTAGTTCTAATGAGGATCCGACTTTGACAAGGAGTTCCTGGTGCGGACTCCCTGCACAAGTATGTATGACATTTATCATCTCAACACATTCATACAACTGCGCTGACTGTTCGATGTTATCAACAGTTAATCTACGCCGGACTCTCGGAGCCAGTGACCGATGAGCAAGGGAGATTGACCGTCGCCGTCGCCATTCGCAACGCGACGCAGCTGATTGACTTTTTTACCCACCATTTCCACAACGCTGTCGAAGGCACTCAGATACCATGCCACGCAATCAGTGAGCTACTATCCCATTTACGCGGGTACGGCGAGAAGCACCAGGAGAAATTCATCGCGGTCGGCCTCCCCGAAGGTCTGGTGCAGAAATGCCCCGGATTGTGCTCCCGGCTCTGGCACGACTTGGATACTCTACCATTGGTATTGAAGTACAAGGATCATCCCCGACAGCCAGACGAGCAGGGGAGTTTGTCAATCTTCTCGAGTTGGAAGGAGAAGACTGCGGATGAACAGGCCGATTCCATGGCCAGGAAGTGTTTGAGGTATGTCCTTCGTTGCGCTGAACCAAGAAATAGCAACGAAATACTAACGATATGCACGACTGACACAGGTCGTTTGGCGTTGGACATCTCATTCACAACCAGATTCATTTTAATGGAATGGTGGACGTCGATAGGAGCTTCTGCATACGCTTTGCCGAGGCGGAGGGTTATCAGCGGACGGTGAGCCCGGAGTTGTGGGCACTGGTTCAGGGACTGGCCAAGGACCTGGTCGAGAGAAAGGTGAAGATTGCGTTCTTCAGTATGACATGCCAAGGAAAGCCCGATGTGCACACTCGACATGCATTGTTGCGGCTGGGTCATGTATTGGGGGTGGATATCCGGTGGTGAGTATACCCAATCTCGCTTGGAGTTAAGACTCCAGAGTCACGGATGAATGCAGGTATGTCCCAAAGCCGCGGCCGAACATCCTCCAATTGATCCGAAAAATGGAGGACCTCATGGAGGGCCTAGCAGGGCCAGATGTCTCCTTGGACACCGACGACCAGCTTCAGATCATGGAGTTCGCCTACGAAAATGCGCGACGGTACTGGCTTGAAGAGCATGGTCCCCTGCGCTCGCGCCAACAGGGCGGGGCGGATGTAGTCGTGATCGACAGCGCTCCGTTGTTGACCCTGGCCCTCCTGGCGAAGCAGCATGATCCCCATCGACCCGTCGTGTTTGAGAACCGATTGCACGCTCCACCGGATGTGCTGCGGCAGCAGTCCACCCATCCTCAGGCAATTGCCTGGCAATTTGTGCAGACCAAGCTGGAGCATGTTGACACCTTGGTCACAACCCTACCCCGGGAACTCGCGCCATCCGTCATGTCAGAGGCGAGTGTTGGCTATATATCCCCTTCGGTAGACCAGTCAGTACCTGTGCCGGTTGCTTTTCTATGCCTACATTCCTTTCAGGACAGATATTCTGACATTCTACGGTAGACTCGATGGCTTGAACAAGCCCTTGACGGATGCCGACATGACCTTCTACGGCCAGGAGCTCAATTCATTATGTAGAACTTTCGGAAACCCCGTTGTCCACTATCCGAGAGGTAAGGCAACCACGGACAGCAATGAAGTATAATTTCCGTGAGTGATTAGCGCTAACCAGGACATAACCAACACAGAACAGTACATCCTAAGCCTGTCGCAACTCCGTCCCGGAGACGGGACCCTCGCTCTCTTAGACGCCTACGCGGCGTTCTGCACCATAGCCTGGACGGACGACCCTAAGCTCCCTCTTCCCAAGCTGCTGATCTGCCACCATGGCCCCGCCCAAAGATCCCAGAGCTCTCCGCACCACGATCGTCTCTTCTCCCACGTTCAGTCGAAGATGAGGCGATTTGCATCGCGGATCTGCATCGTGCAGATCAGCCCCCAAGACCAGGTGTGGAATACCTTACTCTCCAACGCTCGGGTGGTGGTGCAACTGTCACTCTGCCAAGGCATCCCAGAGGTCCTGCTGTGGGCGATGCAGAAGCAGAAGCCGGTGGTCACCACCGCGGCGGGGGGGAGTTTCTTTGCCGCGCATGAGGAGTTGAAGGAGCGGATGTTCTTGGTGGAGGATGGCGCGAACACGACGGACGCGGTCGCTCAGCATTTGTATGGCTTGTTCAGCACTGAGAAGAGTGCTGGGGAGCGCGCGACCTCAAGTGCAAGGCAAGATCTGCCCGAGAGATTCACTACGGTGGGTAATGCGGCATGTTGGCTGTTTCTGGCTTCTTGTCTGTCCCGAGAGACAACGTTTCGGCTTAGTGGCGAGGATATTGCTACGCTTGCGAGGCAGGTGGGCTCAAATTTGTAGGGGTTTTACTCCTTGAAAAGTTTCTTCGGATGCATTCCATAGTTCAGGTAATCTACGAAGTCAGGGCAAAGAGAAATGAAGCATATTGATGAGTCCCGGAGCTGAGCTTGGACCTCGGAGCTTGGAACCCCTCGTATTCTGATCAACCACATCCAGCCTTAGTAGCGGATCCAGTATCAAAGGTTGATAGGGATTGTAGAGTACACAAGCTCTGTGACAGGTGTGGTCGATTCGGTCTGGACCCTTCTAGTCTGGTAACTTCGATCGTGGAACCGAGACTCGGCTCCGAGACGCATACTAGGTATTGAGTTTGGGTAGATGTCGGACCTCAAACCACAGTCTTCCTTCTAAAATTACCCCGAATGACGTCTTGGTGGCATGATGCAACACAGGTCATTTGTGGCTTCCCCGCAGATCCGTCAACCAGGATTCCATGGATACTAAGTACTCTAGCCATCGTAGTAGATCTGGTGCGAAGTGTCGGCCGAGTGACTACAGGAAGTCAGCCCTAACCTCGGGCCTCCGCTTAATGCTACCGGGCTGGTCAGTGGTAGGGAACTGAAGTTCTCTCCATCGAACCATCGACTCGTTTGAGCCCGGAATACTGGGGCGTTTGGTTCTGAGAAACGTACTGGAGAGAACCGCTTACCCTTGCTGCAGCTCTGTGAAGAATGGACACGATGGATTTTGAGATAGCCCTATCCTCCCCTTCTGTCTGAGGATGAACTACATCACCACCACCAGCACCACCATCTACTCCTCCGCCTGTCCCTTCTAATTCTCGGCACCATTGTGGCGTAGAAATAATAGATATGTAATTGCCCAACAGAAGCAAGATACGCTACAAAGACCTAACACCAACCACCATACCAAACACCCCAAAGAAAACCCTCCAAACCCAAGCAACCCACCCCTCACTACCTCCCAAGAATCAGACAACACCATCCCCCTCCACGGCTCCAATCTGTCCCCTCAAGAGCCTCACACTCCTCTCCATCTCCGCCCTCTCCGCCTCCGGCAGGTCCACCGCCACCGTCCGCACGACCCCTTCCCTCCCCACCACCGCCGGCAAACTAAAACAGCACCCGAACTCCGCCTGGAAATGACTGACCGCATGGAAGCCCCGCTCATCTGCTAGAATGGCCGCGCAGAGCCGCGCGATCACCGCCGCGATGCCGTACTCGGTCGACCCCTTGGCGCGGACGATGGCCTCGGACCGCCGCGTGCATTCATCGGCCAGGAGCGTCGGGTGGTGGTTGCTGAGTAGGGTCTGGTGGAGGGGCTGGTCGTTGACGGTCGCGGTGGACCAGGTCGCGAGCTGGGAGGAGCCGTGGACGCCTAGGACGTTGAGGTTGTTGATGGTGGAAGGGGGGGTCTGGTTAGTTGTTAGTATATGCGATGCTACTACTGCTGCTGCTGCTGCTGATGACAGTAGTATACTGAGGAGGAAGACATACCCCCATCTCCGCCGCAACCAACGCCCGCAACCGCACGCCATCAAGCTCCGTCCCCGTCCCCAGCACCTGTCCCGCCGGTAGGCCCGCCGTCTCCCTCACCAGGGAGGTCAACAGATCCACCGGGTTCGACACCACCAACAGCACCGCGTCTCGGCGGATGGGCTTCATGGCCGCCACGATGCTGCGCACGATCGACACTTTGCGGTAGAGGTGCTGCATGCTTGTTTCTCCTTCAACCCAACCACAAACACATGAAGTTAGTGCGTGCCTGAATCTGGCTTTATGGCACTGGGCTAGGGGCTTGGGAGGGACGTACCAATGGTATACTTGGACCCCGCCGTGATGACAATGATATCGCACTCCGCGGCGACTTCGTGGTGGGTCGCGGCACGCACGGTGGCCCCGGCGCCTGGGGACTTGGTGGCGCTGGCAACGACGGCAGCGACGTCGGCCAGGTCGCGGACTTGGCCGTCGCGCCGGTCGAGCTTGATGTCCACGAGCCATAGCTCGCGCGCGACGTGCTGGAGGAGGAGGGCGTAGGCGGCTGCGGCGCCGACGTGGCCTACGCCGATTATGCCGATGCGGGATGTCATTTATTGGAGCGTATATCAGATATCTTCGACGTGGGTGGTATATAGACGGCAGATTTGGGTTGTTTGCTGCCGGGTATACGGGGTAGCTTTGGTGTTATATACCAGGGTATCGGCTCTGCGGTATAGTTGACTGATGTGAGAAAGAATTGTCTGAGGATGGCAGACTCGAGGGGAAGACATGTGAATCTACTAGCAGTTGTAATCTTTCGGCCGGGAAATGCTACGATGCTGGCTGCGGGATTGCCATCGTTGAGGGGCGGTTTTACCATGGGTGGTGGGAAGTATGCGGCGTGGACAAAGAATGCTCTCCCCCCCGCACGGTTGGTTGGGTTAGGGTTGCACCTCCGCGCCATACACCGATCGCCACTTGCCTTGTGCGAGGTCGCACGGCGATCATACCACTCTCGTATTTCACGAAGCTCTGGGAGGAGAGAGTGGTCGATTGCATGTGATAGAGGGTGGGAGTTTTGCTGTATGTTGTATGGTTGTATGGTTGTAAGCATAGAGTCCGGGTTGCTTTGCTTGTTGACTGTGTGGGTGGGGAGTTAAATAGTCGCATATTCTCGGAGTACTTATCTCATTAATTGAAGGGTAATCACGTTAACCTAAGTATACTTGATCTTGAATATAGCCTGCACCATGGGCAGTAGTGATCATCCCCTCGTCCTCGAGCTGGACCAGCTCACCCGACGCGACGTGGCCCTCGTCGGAGGGAAGAACTCGTCGCTGGGGGAGATGCTCAGCCAGCTGGGCAGCGCGGGCATCCCCGTGCCCCCGGGCTTCGCTACCACCGCCGACGCCTACTGGCACTATGTCGATGCCAACCACCTCCGCGAGAAGATCGCCGCCCTCGTGGCCGACTGGCAGTCTCGCCGCAGCACCCTCGTTGAGACCGGCCACGCCGTGCGCAGTCTCTTTCTCCACGGACGGTGGCCGCGAGAAGAAGAAGAGGCCATTCGCACAGCATACCACGAGCTGTCCCGACGTGCCGGGACTACAGAGAACGAGCTCAACGTGGCGGTGCGGTCCAGTGCCACGGCGGAGGATCTCCCCGATGCCAGCTTCGCCGGCCAGCAAGAGACCTACCTGAATATCTGTGGTGCGGACGCGGTCCTAGATGCGTGTCGCCGGTGCTTCGCCTCGCTGTTCACCGACCGGGCCATCAGCTACCGCCAGGCCAAAGGGTTCGACCACCTTGGGATTGCGTTGTCGGTGGGCGTGCAGCAGATGGTGCGGTCGGATGCCCCCGGTGGCGGGTCCGGGGTGATGTTCACGATTGACACCGAGTCCGGGTTCGATCAAGTCGTCTTGATCAATGCGGCGTGGGGGCTGGGCGAGAATGTCGTGCAGGGCGCGGTGAACCCGGACGAGTACCAAGTCTTCAAGCCCCTGCTACAGGACCCCCAGCTGCGGCCCATCGTCAAGAAAGACCGCGGCAGCAAGGAGGTCAAGATGGTGTACGGCGACACCACCACCCCGACGCGCAACATCCCGACCTCCAAGGCGGAGCGCGACGCCTGGGTCCTGACGGACGAGGAGATCCTGACGCTGGCCCGGTGGGCGTGCATCGTCGAGAAACACTACGGCTGTCCGATGGACCTCGAGTGGGCGCGCGACGGCACCACCCAGCAGCTGTGGATCGTGCAGGCGCGGCCGGAAACGGTGCATTCGCAGCGCCACGATGCGGCCAGCAGTTTCACCACCTACCAGGTCACAAAGCGCGGACGCGTGCTGGCCAAGGGGGTGTCCGTGGGCGACGCCGCCGTCTCCGGCCGCGTGTGTCTCATCGAGACGGCGCAGGACATCGACCGGTTCGTGGCGGGCTCGATCCTGGTCACCCGCGCCACGGACCCGGACTGGGTGCCCATCATGAAGCAGGCCAAAGCCCTCATCACCGACCACGGCGGCCGCACCTCGCATGCCGCCATCGTCAGCCGCGAGCTGGGCCTCCCCGCCGTCGTGGGCGTCGGCACGGCGACCTACATCCTGCACACGGGCCAGGACGTGACCGTCTCGTGCGCCGAGGGGGATGTCGGGTTCATCTACGAGGGGGGCGCCGACATCTCGACGCAGGTGGTCGACCTAGCCTCGCTGCCCCGCAGTCGACACACGCAGGTGATGGTCAACCTGGCCAACCCGGCGGCCGCGTACCGGTGGTGGCGCCTCCCCGTCGACGGGATCGGGCTGGCCCGCATGGAGTTCGTGGTGGCCAACACCATCCAGATCCACCCCATGGCCCTGGTGCACTTCGACCAGCTCACCAACCCCGACACCAAGAAGCAAATCGCGCAGCTGACCGTCGGCTACGCGCACAACAAGCCGGACTACTTCGTCGACAAGCTGGCGCAGGCCTTCGCCGCGCTGTGCGCCGTCTTCCACCCGCGCCCGGTCATCATCCGCATGAGCGACTTCAAGACCAACGAGTACGCGAGCCTGATCGGCGGGGAGGAGTTCGAGCCCCACGAGGAGAACCCCATGATTGGGTTCCGGGGCGCCTCGCGCTACTATTCCCCGCGGTACCGCGAGGGGTTCGCGCTCGAGTGCCGCGCCATCCAGCGGCTGCGCGAGACGATGGGGTTCACCAACGCCGTCGTCATGATCCCCTTCTGTCGCACCGTGCGCGAGGCCGAGAAGGTGCTGGCCGTCATGGCGGAGAACGGGCTCGCGCGCGGCCACGCCGGCCTGCAGGTCTACATGATGTGCGAGATCCCGGCCAACGTCATCCGCGCCGCCGAGTTCACCCGCTACTTCGACGGGTTCTCGATTGGTTCCAACGATCTGACGCAGTTGACGCTGGGCGTTGATCGGGATTCCGGGGAACTGGCCGAGCTGTTTGCCGAGCAGGATGAGGCCGTGCTCTGGATGATTCGGCGGGCGATCGACGTGGCGCGCCAGCATGGCTGCAAGATCGGGATCTGTGGGCAGGGCCCCAGCGATCATCCCGAGTTTGCCCAGTTTTTGGTCGAGGCGGGGATTAGCTCGATCTCGGTCACGCCGGATAGCTTCTTTGCCGTGAAGAAGAGGGTCGTTGCTTGTGAGGAGGAGGTGGGTGGGGGTGGTAGTAGGGCTGAGGTGGTGCAGGGGCAGTGAGCTTTTTGTCTGGGTATTTGCTGTTCCTAGGCTATGGAATTTTTTCAAACGTTTTCGAACTAGGAGCTGATTCCTTTCTCAACATACAGTCCCTTGCTGCGCAATATCAAGATAACAAAATCTAGCTAAGCAGGCTGGTTGGGGGATTCAATGTAGGTGGAGTGGCGTAGTAGCCATGGCAGTGAATATAGGGCTTCGTGGAATTCACAAATGCAATCAAGGGTCGTTTGCCTTTTCCCCATTCTTGAATGTAAGCTTCTATTGAGCAGTGAATAAAGACTGTCCATTCTTCATCCACGGCGTGCCCCCTTCCAGTTCCATCCTCTTCTTCACCTTCTTCCTTCTCTTCTCTTCTCAACATAAAAACCCCCTCTCCATCCGTCTTCCTCCTCTTCTTCCTCTTCTTATTCCTCTTCCTCCACCAAACACTTCATCCATCCATCCATGAACCTTCGCTCCTTCTATCCACCATCTCTACAGGTATCCATCTACTATCAACATCCTAATCCTTCATCACCTTTCTCAAATTATCATCGCATTCTCTATTTCGATGTTTGGATTCCTCACTGCTTCTGTTTTCAACTTCAACCCCATCGATGTCTTTATGATCATCACTTTCATCATCACTTTCATCATCACTTTCATCATCACCCTTATCATCGCCGCCATCATCGCCACTCAAGCAAGACTATCAGTTTTAATCCGACAGTTCCTCAAACAAGCGACTCACAAATCAATCCCTCTATCATTACCACTCCCACCACTTTTCTTCAGCGGCGACCTATACTGAGCCGCCGCGAGGAAACCTTTTCCCTCTGGTCTGTCTAACAAGACAGAGTACGAAAGACCATCGCCGCCGCTGTCCCCCCCCCGGGACGCCACATCCAAGCCTGGGCACAGTGCAGGTTGTTTGGAATCCTATCAGATGGGGGTTCCCTCCCTCGAATGTCAAACTGTGTGATGCTTGGATCTTCTTGGTGGTTTTATTCATCAGCAACGCCGAGAGGGGCGCGAAATGACCCGGACCGTCACTTGGGCCTGACGGGGATGCGTGCAGCAATCTACAATGGCGAATCTTGTGGCAGCCCCCGTGGTTTCTCGGGCCCACCGTTTCTGGACCTCCACCGCCTCCTGTGATCACAGCTTGCGGTTACTGTGACAGCACAGCGGTGGCTCCATCAAAGCCTCGCTAGTTCTAGTTTGCACGTTTCCATCGTCTATCTCCTTCCCAGCCAAGCAACCCTTTCCATTTGATCATCATCTCCTGATGTCTGATTGATGAAACTTATCGGAGGCTCGGCCTAGTGGACATCGTATTCACCTTGCATCGACGCAGGGAGATATTGAATGGAATAAAGCATCAGACATAGAATGTTTCTAGCTCGAGGGAAACATCGACTGGTCTCTATGCTATGGAGATTGGGGCTAAGGGGTTGGCTGCCGTCGCTACTGACGACGGCTCCCCCCTTCCCTTCCCACACGTGAGGAGTGCCTGCGAGCTTGTCATCGTTGTACGCAAGCAGGGTTGGCGTGCTCTCTCGTCGCTGCGGCGGCGGGAGAGATCTACTGCTTGCGGTGCCACAGGTACAAATGCAGTTCCAAGGGGAAACCGCGTGGGTTCGACGACAACCAATTCCAGCAAATTGACCTTCAGAATGCGTATGAGAAGCACATTGGCAATGTATCTGGTCGTCTGGTGGAGGATGGAGACTCCAATACCAAAGAGGGGAGGTGATCCGCATGTATATGGACCATCTGCATTATGCGCAGAATGGATATATCCCATATGAGCAAGTAGTGGACAACGTCTGGCTCAATGTCTTGCAAAACTACCATCCCCTTCCCTTCGTGCGGATTACGGCGTGGAACGAGAGTCATATAGCCGTCGATACACTAGCAACCACGAATAGCAAACAAGGCAATGTCTCCATCAAATCGACGGACATTCGGGAAATGGTCAATCGGTGCATACATCCCAGAATGTGCTACGGCTGATTGTGCCAGTTAGTCTTTTTGGGCAGCGCGAAGCGCGATCTAGCCCCTGCAACTTGGCCGAAGGCGATCGAAACCTCTAAGCCCATCGAAATGTCCAAGCCCCAGTCAGTTCCTTCGGGCAGTGCGGAGCGCGATCAAGCCCCTGCAACTTGGCCCAAGGCGATCGAAATCTCCAAGCCCCAGTCAGTCCCTTCGGGCAGCGCGAAGCGCGATCAAGCCCCTGCAACTCGACCGGAAACAATTAAAATCTTTAAGTCCTTGTACGTTCTGAATTTTATTTTTTATGATACTCCTGAGGCAGGTACATCCTGATTAATATCACACAGGGGCTCTATTCCGGTCATACGAGCTAATCATTAGCCCCCGAATAAATCTACCGCCTCCCAGAAGCACTTGAAGAGGAATGAATGCAGCTTGATTGCTGCTCGGGAGTTTATAGCAGGTCAGGTGTCGAGGCGGGCTCGCTCAGAGGATGACGCCGAGTGCACTGCTTGTGCACGAGAAACCGAGACCCAGCGTCTGCTCCTACCCCTTAGCAAACATTACTCTTCGGAGACACGAGACTTCAGGCACTCCGTTTCTGATATCTTCGGGATGGCGAAGGAGAACTTGGGGGATGGTCAGCCCTCGCTGGGGATCGGCATGTCAAGCAACGACATTTCACACAGGCCACATGCTATACCCAGAAGCCGAACCAAGATTGAATAGCAGCGCCGATCGATGGTAGGCTCTTGGGTCTATGGAAGAAGCCGGAGCTATCCACAAACTCATGTTCCCTTGTCTCAGATGGGTTTTGCTTTTGTGTCTGTCAAGACACGGGCTGAGGAGGCAAGAAAGTCTGCGATGCTCGACTGAAATGAAAGTTCTCAACTTCTCGACAGGAGGAGAAAGTCTTAATTATGAAGGCATCTGTTGACTGCACCAATTTTTTGAGATTGCACGCAATATCCAGCTGTGCGGGGTGACAATTTCGATGTATGTCTTTCAGTGCAGGCAAACTTCCATGGCGCTCTGAACCATCTGGTGGTTGTGCCACCCTTGTCTATAAGCTCGGAGCTCAAGGCAAGCACCGGGCCTGACCCAAACGGGGAAATCTCCAAGACCTTGAGCCGATTGCATTTGAGATTCTACAGCGAGTGAAGAAAGCGAGGTTCGAGTCATATTAAGGTCACCGAGGTCTCTCAAGAAAACAACGTGGTGTTCCAGAATTGATCACAACACAATTACCACTGAAGACATGATGTCAAGGCCATTTCTGCGGACACCGGCCTCCCAATCGTGGTGCAAAGCCCACATTCCACACAAAAGTCGAATGCCCCACGATCCAGTCAAACCAGGTTATGATGCCCTCCTCGAAGAGTGTGGCCTCACCTGGCACTCGACCCAGGCGGACTTACTGATGCACATTTTGGACTGGGTTTCATCAACAACCCAGCTCCCGGAGCAGCGGGTGTTTGCCGGCTCGCGCCTCCAGAATAGGCGTCTTACTGCCACCAAACATAACGCTCCGGTTATCCGCCTTGTGGACCGGGCTACAGGTCATGGCACGGTAGGCTATCTCCGAGTTCATGATCCCAATCTCCAAACTCTTTTGTGCTAATACCTTGCTGTAGTCATTCTCACATGTTTCTATCGCATCTATCCACCCCCTCAGCATAGGGAGTCGCTCATACGGATCCATGGGGCCAAACAGGGTTAGTTCTAGGTATCCCTCTATTTTGAAGCCAAAGATATACTAATAATCCTTGGACTAAAACAAGGTCTCGACCGCTGGGAAGATAAGCCGGTCAATCTTCACGACCTGGGAATTCGCGAAGTCCTCCGAGTCGACTATCCAAGCCGCCGTGATCTTGAGGCTGCTATTGCCACAGAAAAGTCTACCATCCAGCAGCAAAAAACTCCTGCTTTCCAGAGATGGGAATCCCGCATCAAGGAGACTTCAAAGCTTAATTGGACTGTTTCACTAGGCTTGCCACCGTTGCTTCTTCACCATGCGAACACCGGCTATATTAACTTGGTAGTACTACCGGGTGAGTGGAGGGGAAGTACAACAATCTTATGCTTGCCTGCGTAGCGAAAGATGCGACTGGTAACATCATCGTCATGCATGAACACAGCTTTATCAGCCCCCGCAGTAGCCAAACCGGCAACCAGAAAAGCGAAAGCTGCTCGCAAACAAGGTTTGGAAGTAGTGGCGACGCGTTCAAGACCTTCCATTAATGCCGGCCAAAGATCCTTCCACTGAATGCGCAGTCTCGACCACACAAAACTCAGCCTCCTCTTGTGCCCCCGATCAGATATCTCATGTCGTCAAGTGGACGTGGTGAGGGCAACTTGCCGCACTCGTCCTTCACGGAGCTGCAGGACCAGATCTCAGCTGGGGCATGAGACACGAGCAACCCCGATGACTTCTCCAATCATCCTAGCGGCCTCTAGGTATCCCAGAAGTCCCTCGGTCAAATTGCTTCTCGACAGCTTGTGGCACATAGCGAGCGCATATGCCAGAGCCACATACTTTACAAGGGGAAGGGGGGCTTCAGGGTCTATGTCCTTGTTGGTGGTATCTATCGCCAAATGAACCCCTATTCACGCAGACTCCATTCATTCTCTGAGCATATGATCAACATTTCGATACATGGGAGCAATTTTCAGTGCTTGTTGGGGGGTGATCGACGAATATGCTGTCTCGTCCGTGGCTAGAAGAGTATCTCAACCATTTTCCAGATCTGGAATACACGGACGAGGTCTTCAGTACATCGTAGCAACAGAAGCCAGGGTTTCGGGTCGAATGACTGAAAACGTCTCCAATGACCCCTTCGTCGTCGAATGGCTTGGAACACGGAATGCCTTATTCAATAGATTGAGACCTATTCGTGAGGTAACAATCAGGCCCACGTATCGTCCCTCTGCACATTTCAACCAGTACGTGTCTGATCCGGCGACAAGGGCGAGCTATCCTTCGCAACGGTACCGTGTCATCGTTCAACCCTGGCTAATCCAGCCCGTTCTGTCTAGATCGAGGCCGGGCGTATACCACCTTCATCTGCACCACGTCTCCGAAACAGCCCCCCTCCTCCCGTAATGCTTGCCGACATCAGGCAAGTGGTTTCGAAGTATGGTTTTCCAGCCCTGGTAGCGAGAGGAGACATTGTTTTCACAAAACACCGAGATGCCATAGCCATGATGAAGGAGATGTCAAAACTGCTGAACCGAGCACTGGCCACTTCCCAGGCTAGAGGGATCACAAACTGAACAACAGACCAGGCGGTCTTAGAGCAGAAGCACCACGAGGGGCCCAGCTCAGATCCGCGGGAGGCCTACCTATTGGCCAAGTTGCACCCTACCTCCACATCCAAGATAAAGCACATGAGCCTAAACTCGCATTTCTTCAGCGTCCGGTCATTCAAGTCGAGTAAGGAACTCCATGAATCTCGTCTACAATGACGATATGCCATATACATGCCTTGACCAGAAGTGCACCTCAAAAAGAAATCCGTCGACGACATCCAGAATGCCTTCTCAGGGTTCACGGCACATTCAAAAAGGATGGAATGCTCACTCGGAGCAAGACATTGAAGGGAGAGGAATGGAAGTCACTGGTGGGATGAATTCTTTTCCGACTGCGATCATGTCAAAGTCGAGGCAGAAGGACTCGACAAGAAAAATCATATACATCTCGCAGGGGTCGGCCCTACTCCCCAGGCATCCTGTCGACGTGCAAAAAAGCCCTTGGATGTTGAGATTGGCCAGGCATCCATGGACCCAAGAAACCTGACTAGTCAGGGCAAATTTCTGTTCTTTGAACTTACACTGAGACCAGGCTCGGTGCCAAAGAGAGTCAGAGATGTCTTTCTGACGGCAAATTCGATGAGAAGAACCCGAAGCCAAGTGACGTTCCACTTCTGCGAGCCCCTATCTCTCCTGGGAGTGAGCTGGAAATCGTTTGCTTCGTTTGCATTAGAAGTGCGTGGTTGGTCTTCGCGGGATGGGGTTCATCGACCCCAACTTGCCCATTCCAACATGCAGGGGGATGCATTCCACCATAGTATGAGCTTCAGCCAAGATCTTCTGGCTCTTGCTCTGCGCACTAAACCTGCTCTTGAAATTATCCTTGGGGTGGACCTGAGATATCCTGGAATGTGCTTATCACTATATCGTGAAGTACGTGAATCCACACACGCCATATGAAGGCAGAGTCGGACAAATTGTGTCCCTTGAGCGAGCCGAGCGAGTACTTGAAGCAGGAGAGGTTTGTGGGTACGATAGGAACCTGGAAACGAAGCTGCCCGAACTGAAGCCTATTCCGATATATCGGCAAGCGGCTCGATAGAGACTAGCAGGAAGACGCCTTCCTCCAAGGGCGGGAATAGTAGTGGCCGAAAAGAATCGCTGCGAACCTCCCCGCTTAGCCCTTGGTCTTGATGTATTGCTTTCAATCGGAATGCCCAAACACCCCGGCTCTACACCTGCGGCAGAATACATGCGCAAACTGAGCGTTCCACAGGCGAGAGAACATTTACCACACTCTCCCATCAACTGCAGTCCCACCTAGCTTTTGGAAGAAAAAAAAAAAAAAAAAAAAAAAGGGGGGGGGGGGTCGCCGGTGTGGGAACTATGGCGGAGGGAGCAGAAAGTAGACTCCGAAGCCCTAATCCTCACTAACACGGAAGAAAAGGAAGACGCAAAGGGGGAGGGACCGAAACAGGCGCAGGATTCCTAGTACTCCCGTGCTCCATTGTTACTGCACAGCGGCCGGCCGATAGGAAACCTACCTACCACTAACAACAGTAGTACTGGCAAGGAGGAAGCAGGGGACAGTACAATCACAGCAACAGATCTGGGAGTAAACCAACCAATCCAGCATCGGCCCAGTGGGGTGACAAGTCCTAAGTTACCAGCTGGCCATCCACTAGACTATAACTGCAGGTACTGTACATTCTACTCTTGAAATCACTTCTGAGATCCTGGCTGATTCAACTCTTTTCTTTTTGTTCTAGATCGAGACCGATGCTATAATATTCTTATATGCACCATGTCTCTGCAACAGTCCTCCTTCTTCTGTTGTGCTCAGCGACATCAGGGAAGTGGTTTCCAAGTATGGGTTCCCGGACCGGTAGTGAGAAAAGACCTTGCTTTTACAAAGCATGGAGGTGCTATAATCATGGTTAAGGAAATGGCATAACTGCTGGACTGAGCAATAGCGACCGATGCTGATTGCAACACAATCAAGACTATCTACCACATTCCTCTCATGAAAAGCAGGCACCCTGCACCTACTGCAAAACTGGACGTGGGTCATTCGTCGATCGACCAAGCAAATGCTAATCGGGACAGGGATACAGGGTACTGTGCCTGCTAAATGCGGCCATATATCAACCAGGAGGATTTGTTGGGTCCCCAAGCGCTGTTTTTCCTTCTGAATGTCAGAGGTCGCAAGCCGCCTTCGAACTTGCAGCCACGGACATGGACGCGATGCATACGGGTCTTGTGAACCGGAAGATTGTCTGAGTACCCCTCATTGGGAGCTGGGTGGGTTCGCTCCAAGCACTGACCCATATGGCGAGCTTGTGGCCTTTGGAATCATGCGCAGCATTCGTCGAGAGTTGTTTCGTGTGGGTATGCAACCATTCCTGTTGCCTCTTCCTACAAAGTGCTCCAGCTAACAGCATCCATGTTGAGCCCGCTTGCCAGCCGGTCACAGAAAATGGCGATATGCAGCTGCTTCGGGGATGCGGACTCTCGGACCACCCCTCCCTGGAAGCCCCCAGCTCATGTGGACGTCCAGGGAAATCTCTTCAGATTGAAAGCGCCAGAATTCCGGAGATCATTAATGTCGACAGTGAGCGAAGGCCATATATTCGCACAGATATTCCTCGATATAGCATGTACTTTGACGAATTTCCAAAAGAGCTCGAGCTGTCCAAAGTTTCTCTGACCCTACAGCGACTCCGGATGAGAGCCTTCGATATGTCGATGCCAGCTGCATCAACATCCTGCTAAAAGCTCACAGGAAGCGATAACGCCAGTATCAGGTGTTGGGCCCGTTGTCATGGACCAAATCTTTCGCATTCGCGTGGACAAGCACGGGTATATCGCTATCTTGTGAGTTGCTGGTTGGCAGGCCAATATCTCTTTCAACTCTGATTTGAAGTAATTGCTACCTAGTTGGGAAGAAGCAACTCCTCAACTGACAATCTGCATTCGCATTCACAAACACATGAGGAATTTGTGTGGAAGACTGAAAACAAAGAAGGACCTGCCTCACAAAAACAGATTGATGATGCCACCAGTAAGGAAAGTACTTGTCGACTACTTGTAAATAGAAGTACTACAAGTAGTATTTGCGTACTGCAGCCTCCGGGCAGCTCTCTCTTCCTCCCCCTGACCAGGTGAGTGTCACCTCACTCAACTTTCATTTGGATACTTAGAAATTAGTTGCTAACTACTTGCCAACTACTTAGAACGCCAATCTCGAACATGAAATACACTATGGCGAGGTGTTGTGCCGAATGGAAGGATGCTCGAAAGGGACCGTAGATTAAATCTTTTATTACTTTTCAACTACTTTCCAACTGCTTACTAACTACTTGAAAAGAAACAATACAGCTCGACAAACAACAAGTACTCACACCTACACACACATGAAGACTTTGTGGCAAAAACTGGAAACAAGGGAGGACGGGCCTCCCAAAAACAGGTCGACGATGCGCAGAGTAAGTCAACTACTTGTTAACTACTTGGTTACTACTAGGTAAACTAGAAAGCGCCACGGCAATGCCAAAGCTGATGACCATGGAAAGACCAAGCTTATTTAACTCCTGCTGCCGGCAGCATTGAGACCGCAGGGTTAGACATGACGACCCCAAGGCACAGTATACTGTCATAACATATTGCAAAGCATAGCGCCGCCATGGCGCACATTCGGGCGCAAAGTGTACCTTCCAGTTCGAAAGAACCGCATCGAATACTGAAAGGATATAACTGGACGGATCCACGTCTTCTTCGAAGATGAGACTGGGCTGCAGGAGAGATTCAATCAGAACGCCGGAAGATGACTTGCTACTCGGAGGTTGTTGTCGAGCCGGTTGATAGACCACGGCCGCTACGTTAAACATAAGCCTGGTGCGCCACATCTCGATCCAGAGCGTCCCCGGATAATCCGAAATGCAACCGCCCCCATCCACCTGCCGCACCCCTCATGGATTGAGGGATATTGTGTCTACCATGCTCCTAAGCGGCTTTGGGTGGGCTTCGCCTGCAGCATTATTACCCATCCCGAAAATCAGACCCTTGCCACCATCAAGAACAACAGAATGACGGCCATGTGAGACTCTCTACAAAGCCATCTGCTATTGTAGAGACCTTGAGAAAGACTGGCGTGCGTATTGCACCCTGGGTATGTCTCTCTCGGATACCCGACGACTCTCAATGCTGAGGGTTTTCCCTTATCATAGCCCGCGAAAATGGTTTCACCGCGGTATACACCGGTGGAGCCCTAAACGTGCTCGCGGGCGAACGTTTTGGATCGCATGATGGGCTTTCTTGGTACGTGATTGGAAAGTGGGGCATCAATCAATGGATACTGACGGCGGCCCGGCGGCCTTGCCCGAGGCTGCTCGCTCACTGTCCATCTCGGTGGCCCTAGCTGGTTCTCCCAGTCGACCTGACGTAGTCAGAATTCATCCATCTTCTACCTTTCTCGCAGGTGTCATCAGATACAGCGCATTCTCGGCAATTAGCCAATCAAGGGTTACTATCCTCACTCGGAAGACGGACACATCAGGCTTGCCAAGTAAGCCTATAGACAAAACACCAAAAGTCTCTTTGCTAAGACTTGATGGCGTCCACTCTAAGTTCTACGTGTTACAAATCTGCTGACACTAAAAACCTGCCACTAAATACTTCTCAGCAGGATGAGGATGATTTTATAGATGATATAATTGACTGGGGTCTGGTGTCCTGGCAAGCTGAAACCCTTTTACAGACGGTTTATACTAATGTTTTCTGATCATCATATAGATGTCGACATGTAATTAATGGATGCTCTAAGCGAAGAAATACCAGCAAAGATAGCCGAGTACGAATCAGAAAAATCCTCTTCTACATCCGCAGATCAGTGCACGATAGCAGCAGTGCGCCCAAGTTCACCTACAAGATCCTGGCCACCAAAGAGCACCTCGGTCAACCATGGGATTGGGTTTGTACGAGACGTCCTTACTTACACCAGCAGGGCATCAACAACATAGCGGTAGAGATACTCGATCCACGTTTTGTGAAACCTCAATCCTGTGCACACCCCCTGCACTCCGTCGGACCCAATCTTCTTCAGGTGGAATCCTGGACACGATCGAACGCAAGGTTCCTCGGCGTGGCGTCAACACGATTTGTTGGTACCAGATTGGGATTTTGGAGAGCGCTAAGTGTCCAACAGTGATTTTGGGTGTGGGCCACAAAGAAGCCCGCAATGGGACTCAAGCGTGAGAGAACATTGTAGACAGAGAACTTTTGGCCTGACTCAGGTTGGTATGTTCATCCAGAAAACCACTTTGCAGCTCATGTTACAAGGCTGCTAAGGCCCAAGAATGAGCAGGATGACCGACGCTGGTGCTGATCGAAATGGTATGAGCCTGTCGCTGAGCAATGAGCCGGGTCACCGCTCCACTGTTGGCGCCTACGTGGAATCTAAAAGCCCTAGAAACCACAGTGGCCGCCGATGGTAATTACGTGTATGCATTGCGTGACCACTTCCAGCACACACAATCCCTGTCGAACACAAATGTGGTGAGTACTATGCTTCTAAAGGGAAAAGAAGCCTTTGCCGGCACTCTTTGCTTAAGGTTACGATCACTTTCGTGAGCATGGAGTTGCACAGAAGGACGACAAGTCTTGACTATGGGTAGACAACCCTGCCATTAGCAGCTATCGTTGAGAAGCAGAAGATTCTGGCAAGCGGACGTCGGACCGACTAGTACCTAGCGTACAAGTTCGTCACATATGACATATACAAAAACGTTGAAACAAATTGGTCTCGCGAGATCAACGAGGACTTTGAGGAATTGAAAGAGCAGCTCGACGCACTAAGAGCGCCCGGGCCATGATGGCATTCCCATCGAGGACAGAGCTCGCACCATACTACAGGTTCATCAGCCCGCGGTGAGCATTCTCACCGATGACATGGCACGCTAAATCATCAGTTGCTTTCGGCTATCCTTGCCCAGTAAGTCACTCACTATCTAGAGAAAGATTCTGTCACTGACGGGCTTAGTTCTGTGGTCGCGTGACCTCGGACTTCACCACTTCCACCTTGGAGAGACCACGTATCCGCTGGCTACACACGAATACACATCTTCAAGCTGTCACAAGTTCTGCCAGGATAGATGCAAGCGTCTTCGGCAAAGGCAGTGGGGGCATTAATACTGGGGTCACGAGTCTTATGGTTGATGGCCCGCTTGTGCCGAGAGACCCAAGATCGACCTGGTCGTGTATCTGGGGCACTGCCGCATTGAACCACAAGCATACTGAGACCGATTATAATCCGCAATTCACACGGCCCAGAAAGTACCAAAGATGGCGGCAAGGCATGTATAGAAGAGAAGCGACACGGTTCATCACATCTCTCTATATGGAGTAAGACTCTCGGACGCTTGGCTATACCTAGCCATCAAGTTTCTCCAAAAGGATGAACTTCTCAACAAGTCTCCTACCGACTTCGACTTCGAAGAATAGTTCGAGACCGAACACATTCCTCAGGGCCGATTGATCATTCTCAAGCTTCAGAACTATTGATCTCTTCGCCCAGTACAAAGCCTATCATGTCCTTTGCGGTGGCCGAGTTGCACAGTCACACATGCTATGGCTGTTTAGAGGTCATCCCCTTCGCGGAAACCTCCCCCATAACAACGACACGCTCTTGGAGGAACGTGCAAGTGCGGAAGAAGGCCGTCATAGCATATGCCGAAATGAGTTGGACAAATCATAACCACGTTCGTTCTTCGTCGCCATTCTAGGCCATAAGTTATGCCAGATAGCCCAATCCAATCGTCTTTCACGCTCTCATCTGGTTATGAGCCCTCCGCTTGACGCGACCCTGTCTACCTCCCACAGCGTCAAGATCATCAAATAACTTCATAAACTTTCCAGATTCCGGGCAACGCGACCACCCGATTGGTGGCCGTGACGTAACGTAACGCCTCTGACGCACACTAAGATGAACGGCGAGGAAGCTGGTGCCGGTGGAGACGCCATCGAACACAATACTCAGTACAAACAAGGACACAAAGTCTTATCGGACAAGCTCCCAGATGCCCTGCCCACCGTTTCAACGCTTCTCGTTGATAAACAGGGATGGAACATCTGGCTCAGATAGAATGCCTCTCTGTACTGTCGGTGCCTCCCGGGCCCTGACGGATGCAGAACTGAAGCCGAGTGGGAGCTCTCCCAAGAGAGGTCTAGGCATTACGCAAATGAAGAGAATCTCTTGCGGACTATACGGTTCCAACGACAGGAAATTGCCCGACTGGAAGATACACTCCGCAATGTCGCACAGATATTTGTACGGAAGCCGTACTGGCATTTCATCTTTGCAACTAATCTAGATGGAACCTTCGTGTACTCGGAACAAGATCTTATTTCAAACATCGGAGGTGATTACCATGATCGTTATCATGGAGATTTCAACCCACACACTCATACCGCAAGAGGGGACATCAAGCAGCGCCTCGCCCAGACGGTATTGACACCCCGAACGTCTCGGGGTCGATTGTACCTACTTTAGTTCCACACCTACATACTCCACCGACCTAGCCTCATGAATAGCCTCTTATTTAGGCCCAATATCAAGCAGTCTTTCATTCTTCCGGTTACCCTATACGGGGTGTAGTTATCGAATCCATATCATTCTTCCTTACTCGGCTTGGAAGCCTCAATACTATGTGGAGGGGAAGCAGCTCATACAAATGGCATATGGCTTCTGGGAGCACAGCAAAGGAACTCCGGATATAACAACAGTACCATTGTACTGGGACGTGCTGTTACCAGGTATCCCCTCGGGAACTACTATATTGTTCAGATAAACCATTATAAAAAGTATATTATTGTGAACCTACCCGGCCAGACAAAACAGTTACCAGTCAATCATGTTTGACGACATCAAGCATCGTTTTCACACTCCCTTCCCCCACCAGATCAGCATAATGTGAACCTCGTGTATCTGCCGTGAACGGGGCTTACTGATTTATTAAGGCCCTTGTCTCAATCTGAAATGTATAGCTAAAAACTGACAAGAAGAAGACTTGTCCATCAGAAAAGGACACAGCCAACTCCCACCACAGTACTCTGCCCCAAACTTGGAGATCAATCATCCTGGGGCCACGATTTTTAGCAAGTTTTCCTTTTGCAAGGGATTTCCCATGCCCTCGTGGAATGGTGAAGAACGGAACCAAACTCTGCTGGTGCTCATGTCTAGTCCAGACCCCTTATACAGTACGTAAGAAGCCTTGTTGAGGACTTCATGAGACAAATGATCGAGGTCGGACGCGCTGAACGACCACACGCTCATGCGGGGACGATCCTCTCGCGCCTTGATCAAGCGCCATACTTGTGGTCCCAGCATATGCAGCACTCAGCTGAAGCATTTCCAGCAGCTTGAGTACACTCTACTTCTTCAATTCCCCTACTCTCCTTATTCATCACCGCCATATGATATTGCCCCCGTCAAGCTTGCCAGGGACTTACGATCCCTTCCAACAAAATGGTTACCACGCGGAGCTCTACCTCCCAGCGAGCAGCCGACAACCCTCTCTGATGGGGAGGAGTCAGCAGCAGAGAGCGAGCTCTCAGTCTCCTTCCGGGGAGAATCTCGAGAGAACCGCCGAGGCAGCAGGTAGGGAGGTGGAAGGGGGAGGGGACCAGGGAGATGAGGTCTATCTCTCCTCCGAGACGAGTTTCCCCAATACTGCGGCAGCAAGTTCTTCTCGTTCATACCTGCTCGCTCACCAACGATTGACCAGGGTGTTTTCGTTCTCGGGACGGAATGAACCAGCGTGGAGACAGAAGCCGTACCGCCACAGCCATCACAGCCCAGTACCATCATCATTTGGGTTGAGGGTTGCGATGCTGGCCAGCGGACACATCACGCAAGTCAGCGGCGGTGCTCGAGACTGCAATCGGTAAGGTGACCAGTCATTCCACATCTCCATGGAGCATGAGAGGGAAACCGTGGTCTATCGCGCACACATTCCAGCAGGGGCATTGATCCCGTCAATCATACCAGCAGATATCCTAGCGGTCGATGAGCAAGCAAATGGGCTCAGCAAAGTAACCCGCCAATTCTAATCAGGCACCGACGCATCCACCCATTTCACACGACGATACGTCTATGCATGACTGACCCAGGTCGATGTATCTCCTTCTGACGACATGTTCACAACCCTATCTGCAAGCCATACAACAACAAACCCGCTGATACTGACAGGGTAGAAGCGTGCACCAGGTGTTAGGGTTAGTGCCAGTGTTTTCGTTGAGATCCTTGCATTTGCAAAGGTTCTGATCGACTCATGATGAAGGATCGCTGGTACAAGTGGGTGGATTGATGGGTTGATATGGGCAAAAGTTTTCTGACCTACCATCTGTCACCTCGAAGATGAAGATTTAGGCCAAATCTGCAGCATAACTATAGTCACTCCAATCATACAAGACGCCAGTAGCCAAACAATATCATTATGCAATTATCTATGTACTCCATACTCATCACATCGGAAATCAACCCTCTAATCGCAGGTCGAAACTCCCCCCGTCCTGAGTAAGTCCGGATCAACCGGGTAGGAAGTAAGTTACACATATAAAACAAGTGACTCTTGCTCTATACACAAGAAAGGAAAGGGGCAGGAAAGAAACATCATCACACGAATGCATGCATGCAACCCAATGCTCGCTCAATGCAAGGGAATCAAGCCAGGCCGTCTCGTCTCGTCTCGTCTCCTGCTCTTTTGGTTCTAAGGCAGCACGCGCAAGCAGCAATGTGGAGCGTGGATCCCTCGGGGTCCGTTCACCGCCTTCCCCCCCCCTTTTTTCCACATCCCCCCCCCTCTCTATGACCAGTGAACAAAAACCCCTCTCTCGCCTTCCGCTCTTTTTTTCTTTATTGTTGATCATGTCTCTCGTCCTTTCTCACCTCCCCAGGAAATGCTGCGACGGCTGGCACTGCGGCTGTGGCGCGAGTAGGTCGACCCCGTATCCTGGGCTTCACCCGAGCTACCGCCGTTGAATGACTGCTGGCGACTGTCCTTGGTGCCATCGGCGAACTGCACCCTGCTATGGTTTGGGCCGTTGTTCTCGCTGTCGGATTCATCCACATCATCCACCGGAGTATCGGAGTCATCCGAATCGTCCGAGTTGTTGATTTCACCCAGAGCAGCCAAACGACGCCGTCGCTCGGCGGGCGTTTCGCCCGTATCGTCATCGGCCTGCTGAGGCGGACGGGCGAGGCCAGCCGCTTCGCGCAATTGAGCGGGCGGCACACGTTCGGTGCCGTCATCCTCGGAATCTCTGCGCGATCGAGCTTGCGTCTTCGGAGACGATGATTTCGGACTCAGGTGGCGGGAGCGCCGCTCATCGGCGGCGGTACCGCGACTGAACCGGGCCAGAGAGGCGGCGACGTTGTCGCCGGGAACCCCATGGCCCGATTCATCGTCGCTGAGGTCTGTCTCGGATTCGGAATCATCGTCGAAAACGGGGACTGAGGGTGCAACACCGGGATCCGACTTGGGGCGCTCTTGCTCTTGCTCCTCCGCCTTCTCGGCTTCCTGGCGCGCAACGTCCTTCACCCGCTCCGGGGCATCGGTTTCCTCCACCACATCGCGACGAGCCTTGGGGCCCAGGTTGCGGATCTGTTGAGCGAATTCATGCTTGGTCATGCGACGACCCTTGTGTTCGATGCCGCGCTTTCCGACGTCGCCATCGTCAGCCAGGGTGAAACGCAGACCGTCATCTGCCAGCCATTCGTCCTGCGCCGCCTTGCGGGCCGCTTGCGAGTTTTCACCCTCTTCCTCCATGCCGAACCAGGTACCCATCCGGGTCAGTCCTCGTCGAACCGGAGCGTTACCCTCAGGCTTGGGCTTTTCTTTCGCGGGGATCGAGTACTTCTTGATGACCTCACCATCTTCGTCCTCGACGATAATCGTGTTGCCAAACTGGTACGCGTGAGCGGAGCGGCCCTTGCCCTTGCGCTTGTGAACTTCTTTCTCGGCCTTGCGCTTGGCTGCAGCCTTCTCCTCCTCGGTGTGAACGGGCACCTGGACACGATCGCCGCCCTTGCCGAATTTCATCCAGTTACCAATCATCTTCCGAGTCTTTTCGACGGAACGTTCGGCCTTCTCTTCCAGGGTCTTCTCGATTTCCTCGCCTTCGTCCTTTTCGTGGGGATGTGAGCGAGAGGGAGCAAACTCGGCCGAATTCTGTTGTAACTTCTGCCGCTGTTCCTCGATGTGTTGTTTCTGCTCTTCTGCGGACATGTTACTGACGTCTTCGACCTTGAGAACGTTACCCTCTTCATCCTCCATGATCATGTTATGACCCTCCAGGTATACTTCCATGACGGGCTCTTGGCCGAAGCGATCGCGCTCCCGGTTAGGAGGAGAGGATTCCCGTTCGATTCTATCGCGTTCTTCCTCCTCTTCGCGTTCTTCTTCCTGCTTCTCGGATTTCTCAGTATCTGCGGTTCGCTGAGGCGCGATGGCCGACTGGCTGATCGGACCACCCGCTCCGTCGTTACGTCTGCGGCGTCTTCTACGGGTCCTACTCGTCGATCGGGCACGTGCCGGGTCCGTTTCGTCTTCCTTCTGACGACGCAAGAAGTTACCCGGAACTCCGATTGGGGGCAGTGTACCCGGAGGATAATCGGGTTCGTTGGAGGATTCATCCTCATCCGGTTTGCGGAAGGACATAGAACCCTTGGCGAGGGATTGCACCCGCGGCAGACGATTCATCCAGGAGGGACCCTCTTCGTTGGCGGTGGTGTAGGACAACGTGATGGTCAGGGTGTTGATCCGCTTGCCGAGCGTAAAGACGGCGATAGAGGAGCCGTGAACCAAAATCGAGGAAATGACCATGAAGGTCGTAATTGGCCAAATGAGCTGAACGATATAGTAATTCGAAGAACCAGACGCCGGGAGCTCTGATTCCCCTAATGGACTGGTGCCATGTCCCTCCAGTTCAGCCCGTGCTAAGATCGACGCAAAGATCGCGCCGACGCCAATCGGCCCGAAATGGCCAGCGAACAATGCCTCGCGCCATGTTTTCACATCGGGTATAATCGGTTTCAATATCAGCATGATCGGAATGCGACGGAAGAAGATGACCAGGATCGCTATCACAACCAGTCGCCAGGGCTGCAGACCAATCGATGGGTTGTTGTAGTCCTCCCAGGGAATGATCGATCCAAAATACACAAAGTAAGCCAAGTTGAGTAGCAAATCGATGACGTTGGACACGTGGGACTCCTCTGTCTTCTCCGTAAACCATCCGTCATTACTGAAGCCCACGCCGGCGGCAAAGCCGATCAGGAGGTCGTCCATGCCCAGTAGACTGCCCGAGCCGGCGCAGAAGACGGCGAGCACAAAGTAGAAGACCAGGAAACTTTCACGATCGATAAGCCCCTTCCTTTCGGCGAGCTTGATCGCGTGCCGGGCCAGATACCCAATGATAAACCCGTAGACCGCACCAAAAATACACTCGTACAGGATGGTTACACAGAACCAATGCAGCGACACCTCGCCCGCATGGGGGCGGTAGCGCCAGATGTAGTACCCCAGATAAATGAACGGGAAGGCCATGCCGTCGTTGCAGCCGGACTCGGCGGACAAGAGGTCTCGCAAGTGCTTGGGCACTCGGCGAGCGAATTTACCTTTACCGACGACGGAGGAGGCGAGGACGGGGTCGGTGGCGGTGACACAGGACGCGCAGATCAGACTCTCGAGCCACGAGAGAGGCGGCACCATCCACCAGATGAACAGACTCGTGATTAGCCAGCCCCAGGTCATGACGGGTACCAGCAGCAAAAACACCGACTTCCAGTGGCGTTCCATGTAGGCCTTGGGCAATTCGACTCCGACGGCAAAGCACTGGACAACCAGGACGATGCGCGAGCATTCCAGCGTGATCTTGTCGACATTGCCCCAGGACATCGGGTTAAAGAGGTTGGCCGCATGAGGCCCGAAGATGATACCACACAGAGTGGCGACGGTGGCTTCACCGATGTACAGCTTCTCCTTGACGAAGAGCGAACATAACATGAACAGACTGGTAAACCCACCCAGGATCATGTACGCCAGATGGGGCTTATCGATATCTAAATGATCCCACGCCATGATTACGACGGCGGGGGAAGCGCACGAGATCGAGAAGCGCTATCCCAGTAGAAGTTGTTTTTATTGTTGTTTGTTGTACCAGATTTCCTTTTTCCTCCCCGGGGCGCTCGTTCGTTCAAGGTCGATGCGCCGCGAAACCAGGTTATGATTGAGGATCTCGGAGGAGCTTCCGCCGATCGGGACCTGGATGCGCTCTAACAAGGGGAAACCCGCCGCTTAAGGTGGACGCACGCCGAATTTCCGCATGCCTTTTGGAAAATCAATGATATGCGGCCCGAAACGATGACAGGCGAAAGCGGAGAAAATCCCAAGACGGAGGTTTCCTGTCGAGGGCCTCGTGGGCGTCGTCACCTGCAAGGGGGATCGAGAGTATGGGAGGGAGGGGAGAGGAGAGGAGAGGAGAGGAGAGGAGAGGATTCCTGTTGTGGGCGAGAGCAGAACGTGCGATTAGTTTCCGGAACCGAGGGAAAAGGAAAGAAATAAACAAGAATTGGGAATGAGCGAAAAAGCATTGGTCCGAGTGTTTTCTCAAGAGGGAGAAGAGGAGGGAAGATCGCGCAGGGCGAGGAATGGGAAATGGGAAGAGGCGCGGGCGGCGGCGGCGGCCAAAGGAAAGACTGCCGCTTTGGGAGAAGCAGAGGAAGGATGACTTACCGATTCTGGAAACTGAATAGTTCAAGATCCTCCAAACAATTCGAAGCTTTCCCCAAGAATACGGGATGCACGGAATGGGATAGGAAGATGGAGGTGAGGGTGAAGGCTAAGACACAGGTCTGAGAAACAAGAAGAAAGAGAAGAGAAGAACAAGACAAGAGAGAAAAAAAAAAAAATAAAGAACGAGGAAGGGAGAGGGAGAGTAAGTTTTGGAGGGCGAAACAGGTACCAGAAACGAAGTCAGCGGCACCCGATCCAAGCCGAGAGGAACGACCAGAGAGGAGGGAGGAACTGGAGGAATTGGAGGAATTGAAGCAAGAGAAACAAGCCAAGTTCTGGGCACGAGCTGGGCGTAGGAATATGATTCGGAGATTTGCTGCCTTTCCAAGACTGATGACGACGAGCCAGGGAAAGAAGGCCGACGGTCGGCGGGGAAATCCGTTGAATCTGACTTCCTTCACAGCTCTGAATCACTCACTCGTCGCGGAACGGACGAAGGCGAGGAGGCTTGGCAGTTGGCGGGACTCCACTATTTCTGATTATGATCCCAGTTATGATTGCACTGACTCGGTAGTTGTCGTGGAGTTATGAAATTCTTGGAGCCGATGAAGGCGGGACACAGCTGGGTTGATATACTGCACATACATCTTGTCATGATGTCGCTACAGAGAGACACTCTCTGTATGTACAAGATGCTAACTATAAGCTAGTCCTTGACTATACTCCGTACTCTCCCCTGTACATCCGACCAGGAAAGAGACTACTAGAAGGTACTCCGTAGTACCCCATAAGTTACCTCTCAAACTACTAGGAATCCCTCCACACCAATAGGGCTCGCATCCGATTACCCATCACATTTCCAATCGTGTCCCGCCAACAATTCTGATCCACCACAACTCTACTGTAACTGTACGGTACATGTTTAAACTTCTCCCCCCAGAAGTACTGTACAGATCAGATCCGACTTTTGCGACGGACTGTTCTTTTGTGCTTCCCCGTGTGAGAGGTGGCATGTATGCATTTGGATAGGGAGGGAGGACAATTGTGGGATGACAGCTGAGACTGAATGGACTCTCTCAAACTCTCACACATCACCACCACCACATGGTGCCAATCATGGCCATGAGGCCATGACGACACAATCTCCAAACCTGCCGTGCAGGAAGAGACGACTAGGTAGAAAAAGAGACTAGCCCCGAGGCTAAACACAGAAGGAGACTAAGTTAACCGCCATCGTTTTGCCCAGCCTTGCAAGGCTGCAAATGCTCGGTTTCTGCCGGTCTTTATTGGCGGTCAAGAGCTAAAAGCGGAGCTGCACTTGTCGCTCTTGGGGTTAGTCTCCAGTGATTGTCCCCACTTCGACTCAAACCAAGTCGGCGATTCGTTCATCCCGACTTGCCGATATCCCGACCCTGACTAACCGCCTTCTTCCCTCCTCATCACGAGACCGACCGGAGACTCGGAATACTTCCTGTACTTCCCATCATACACTTGAAATCACTGACAGGCTTGCCAGGTGGTTGCTTGCTTGCTTGCTTGCTTGCTTCAAGAGCGCAGCATGACGGACGGCAAACACTACTAGGTACTACTCAAACTCACAGTGATTCCTTCGGTCACTAAGTCCGCCCGCGCCGGTTCAATAGTTTATATATTTACCCGGTTTATCACAAAAAGAAAAAAAAAGAACAAGCATTAAGAGTATCTTGATCACCTCCACGTAACAGCGGAGAAGAGACCTAACTGGCCGACACCTATGGAACAGCTGTGGTTAACCAATGTGCCGGGCACGAACAAGGAATAACTAGTAGATACCTCACACTACAGCACGGTACGCCTGATTTGGCCGGGCCCAGCGATGCAATGTCTCCTGCAGGTCACTCCCAACCAAGCAAGCAACCCAACCATGTGTCCAACCCGTGATCTCTGCACTCGGGGACCATCAGAGCAAGGTCTCCAAAACGGCAACCGTTCAACTGTCCAGAAGAAAAAAAAACCTAAAATTAACACTCTGCAGGCGGTAGGTCCGTCTGCCAAACAGGGATGCGTACAGGGGGCTAGAGTCGCTGCAGGAAAACCACGATCAAAAATCACTTCGGCAGGATAGCGCGAGTAAAGAAAAAATTCTCTGAGATACAGTAGGCAGGAGGCACGGCGCAAGAATTCAAGACCAAAAAACGAGAGAAAAAAAAGAAGAAAAAGCAATGTTCAGTGCCAGTAATTGACACGTGCATCAGTGCATCAGTCCCCTAACGGCATGCCCTCCACTTGATCGCTGAGTGACCGCCAGTTGTCCGCCTGCAGCTCCGAGTACTTGACCCGCTCCTGACTCCAGTCTTGATGCAGCCGGCTGATGTGATACTGACTTTGCTGGAAAAACACGAGTTCGTCCCGAATGCACTCCTTGATAAACACCCCACGTGCGTGTTGTTGCACAATCGATTCCTTGTCCTGCAATCCCCGACGAGGCAACCGGGTTAGCCATCCTAGTCTGGACCACTGAATCAGAATCAGAAATGAACATTCCACATACCTTGAAGATGGCTTCTTCCACCTTTTCAATTTCGCCCGGTTTGACCGTGTTCTGGGGCCGGGCCCGCAGCTCCTGCAGCTTGCGCTCGTTGTTCTCAATGCGACGCTCCAATTGGGGGATGTTGTTACGAGCATATCGGTCCCGCCGATCAAACATCTCTCGCACACTGACCAGACAGTCGCGTTGGCGCTTGAGGTCCTCCAACATCCCATCTTCCCAAGCCCGAGCCTCGTCCTCCAGCAGACTCTGGCTTGCCGACAGATGCCGTGCCGTGGCCTTGATTCCCTCGTTGAGCGACGGCACATCGTTCGTATCCACTGCGTAGGTGTCGCGTGTCACCTCGGTCAGCGACTGCAGCGCCAGGGAGAACCGCAGGTGATCGGCAGCAAGCCCCTCGTTGCGCTTCGCTAACCGCTCCAACAGCGTGCACAGGTTGATGTACACCTCTGCCGACCGTTTGACCCCACCGCGGACCGTATCGAACAGGTCTGTTAAGTTGGAGGGGAGCGAGTCTTCAAGATCGGGGGGTAGGGCTCGGCCCGCAAATTCGTCCTGCACTGAAATGGTCGCCTGTTTCCGCCACACCGAAAGTTCCTGTCCCAATGTCAGACCATCCACCGCTTTGACCACAACGAATCCACAAGACCTACTGTCGGAACCGTCAAGAACATAACCACCAATTGCTCCTGGCTCAAGACCGGATGCCGAACGAGCGCATTCGTAAATCGTACAAGTCCCCTACGACGTTTTTCCAGGAAGGAATTGGAGTCCGCTGAAAGGTGAGTGCCATTGACTTGGGAAAGGTGTGTAAGCTTGGAGGACAGCTTGTAGCAAGCCTCAATATGAACGTACCTGAAATCCTCTTGGGGGGCAGCAGTGGCAATTGGCGGAACGGATAGCGTTTGTGGAGGCAGTCCAGGAGCCACACGAAGTCACTGTACCGTCGAACCACGGTGCTCCCTCTGCGGGCAGACTTGACTTCATAATTGCGATGCTGGAACATGAACATGCCTTCCTTTTCTGGAAGCAGGGTGATCGTGATCACCTCCTCCATACGGGTATTCGTAACTCTACCGATGCCTAAGGACCGGCGACGGGGATTGGAGTCGCCTTGGTCGCTCCCGGGTGGGCCAAAGGCTCCAAGTCCAGCTCGGACCGGCCCTCCCAGTCCATGTCCATCCGAGGTATCTCCAATGTTGTCTCCCCATCCAAAGCCAGGGTTAGCAGAAGGACCCAAGCCCGCCCCTCCATTGGGATGGGGATTCTCTGGCGCATCCTGCGGGCCGCTGGTATCACTGGCTCTGCTAGCCCATGCATTGGTCCCGGATCGTACGCTGCCATAACCATTGAGAACGGGGTGTTCGGATTCGGTTTGGGCATGGGCGTGTCCTCGATGCAGCTGAGGGCTTCCCCACGGATCGGCTTCAAAGCTGCCCATGGACCCACGGGCGGACTGTCGCGAATGAGTTGAGCTTGGCTCTGGCGGCGGGGTGGCAGGGGCAGGAGGCGTAGTGGGACGGTCTTGTTGCGACGACTGACCCGATGTAGCAGTTTCGTGTTTAGCGCGCAATGCGTCGAAATAAGAGCACCTGGGCTGCGGGAGCTCTGTTCAAGTGGGCCGCGCACTTGCTGTTAGCTGCACGAGTCGGGTCTAAAGGATGACATGGAGGGTCCGCGACAACTCACTCTTGCGTCGATCGTCAACCGTATCGAATGTCAGGTCCTCCCCTTCCTGCGCTAGGCCCACGAGGGCCAGAAGCACGCTGAACTCGCCACGTCCTAGGCCAGTGGAGCTGTCTAAATCGCCCGAGACAACCAGATTCAGGATTTTCTCCTGATCGCTGGCACTGAGTCCGCTGCTCGACAGGATTTCGCGGACGGACGTCAGGCCCACACCACTGCCCACGCGATCCCCCTCACTGAGCACCAGATCGTACGCATCGATATAGCTGTCAGGAACCTCATCTTGCGGAAGAAGAGTCTTCACAATTTGGTGTTTCGTCCGTTTGTTGACACTGTTGCCCCAGAGCGAGCCGGAGTTCAGCCCCTCGTCGTCGGCGAAGAGGGAGGAGGAACCCGCATTTCCTGTGTTCCCACCAAAGGACGGCTCGTCTGCGAAAAGGGAGGACTTGGATCTCTGCGCGGAATTACCCAGCGCCGGATCCTCGGGAGATGTGCCAAAGAGCGACATGGAATGTCAACAGAGGGCGAACAGTCGGTATAGGGGGGTGATGGTGGAAGTGTTGTTGATGTCGCAGGAGGCCAAGGCAATGACGAAGCGGAGTGCGGTCGGAGGCGGGAGGGAGCGAAGGAGGCTGATAAGGGAGGAAAACAAGCTAATATAAAAATAGTTGCCAGGACTGTTAGACTGTTACAAGTGCGCACACCGACAATTAGGAAGGGGGGGGGGAAGATAGAAAAGGTCCTGCTCTTCTTCTTTTCCTTGAACAAAGGGAGATTGAGGTTGGGAGTTGGAGGTTTTGTTGTGGTTGCTGGAGCAAAGGTGGAGAGGGAGGAGGGAGAGGAGGGCGGTGATAAGGAAACGCGTTTGCGAAGGAGAGCCCAGCTGAGGGAGGAGGAATGGAATGGATGGAGTGATGTCGCCCTCGCCGATCCACTGCGGGAACCACCAAACCACCAACTAATCCCTTCTCAGCCATTTCCGAGCTCCATCCTTGCCCACTGCACCTCAACCCCCCCCGCTCATACGAACCAGCTACAGAGTACGGAGGACATACAAGGTAAAACGATCGAGGTACGTATCTCTTCACCGCAATGTTGAAATCCCAGTAACATATAAAAAACTTGGAAATATCGAGCTACTCATACATTGCTCCAAGTTATATACACTAAAAATATAGGTTCTGGGGAATCAATGCTGAATCGCATCGCCGAGCTCTGCCCTGCAGTCGTCTCCGCGCATCAAACGCTGTCGCGTCGCTAACCTCCTCTATCTATATGCCTCCCTCGCTCGAGCTCTCGGATGACCGATCGTTGCATTCCACCTGACCTTCCCCAGGGGGCGATACAACAAAGTAGCCCTTCCGTGCCAGGATTTCCTGCCATTCCTGCTTGCCCGTCGCGAACACCAGCGACGGATTGGCATCCGATGGAAACCATCTCTCCTTCCGAGTATATGCTTTGTCACCCCCCTCAAGCGCTGCTCGACTGGCTCGGGTCTGTCGTGTGCGCTTGGCCCCCTTCCCATCACTGGAGAGAATTTCACCCAGCTGTAGCCGACGGTGTGCCAAGCGGAGATCATAGGCCATGATTCCTCGGATATACGGTCCTAGATCCTCAGCGATGGGACGCATTCCGTTTTCAAATGAAGGTGCCAAGCGGCCAGTGGGTATGGGGAAGATGTAATCCGCTCGTGTCATAGGCTCGAAGGCCGCATTGAATTCAGCACGGCCAAGACCAGCACTGGGGGGGTTAGTCACTTTTTGCAGGACCCTTGCGCCATACTCCGATTCAGGATCTGGAGTCTTCTTATCCGAGGCTTTCATATCAGGAGACTGCTTGTCCTTTTGATATTCATGCGGGAAAGTCTTCTCTAGTAAAGTCTCGAAGGTGCAGCCCATGGCCGCCGGCATTGCTGTGTACTCCGGCATGATATCGGCGGAGAGCAATTGATAACCTTCCGTGTAGTTTGTCCTTTGCTTTTCCGGTAATGGAGGGATTGAGGGATCCATAGTGTCCTAAATGTGTTAACTCGAAGATTTAGCATATGAAGAGAGGCTCTTACCAGCTTCATGTCAAGTGAGCAGCGGGAGCAGAGAAGGTCAAGGTCACTTTGTAGATCGGCAAATTTGGACTTTTGCAATAACGTTTCTAGATGATCAGCGTTGGATATCGTTTGCACCTGTTTCGTGCCCGAATGATACGAATCAGACTGCCTGACAGTGTTCATGGTCTGTGTTTCCTGCATGCTAAGCCGCCACCATGCAAGTGACTCTAGTCGAGGTTCAACCTCACTGTCTGGTCCGTGACTTTGCAGCATGTCGCGCCCAAACCAGCCCATGAATGGCTCGTATGCATTAAGACTCAGCACCCGAAGAGGGTCACCGTTCGGATCAAGGTCCAACCCCCGCGGCCAGCGATCAAGGATCCAGTCAAGGCCGGACTTCTCGCTGCCGATCGTCATCTGGCACCAGAAATCCAACTCCATGATAGATCGCCGGAGATCCCGACCTGTGCTGTCGTAGAGGCTCTCGACCGCTCCTCGTTTAAGCATGTGGCCCTCATTGGCAGCCACGAGAAGGAGATAGTCAACAGCAAGAACTTTTGGAGGAGGTCGGTAGCGAAGTATGGCATGAAAGGAGATGTCTTGGAGTGGAAGAAGTTTCTCGTTGTTGCAGGTGATGATGATTGGCCGTTTCGATTGGCTGATTAGCGTCATCACCCCGGACCAGAATCCCTTGTCTTCTTCGAAAAGAATGTCTGCCTCCTCCAGAAGAATGAAAGATTGCTTCTGGCTGCGAGGACGCTTCGTCTCTGACTCTAGTGTTGAGGATTTTGGTTCGGGTGCCGGCTTGGCCCCTGACTTGACAGTTGATGTTGACTGGAAGAACCCTTTGAGTTTATTCTGTTTCGGGTCCACTAGCTCGACACCACTTCCATCAGATGCACTGTCATGGGCGTGGTGGTGATGGACCAGATGGTTGCGTGTCATGTCACCTACACGGTCCAGGATGTCCTTGGCGCTCCGGCGATTTCCCGGGTTGATTTCGAACACCTCAAAGTCCAGCTCCTTGGCTACTGCATGAATCGATGCCGTCTTGCCACACCCCGAAGGACCGCTTATCAAGATGACATTGGACATGCGGGTTTTCTCGGTCCCAGATTTTGAACCTAGCGCCATGTCACCAGCACGAACGACGGTCTTTTTGGTGGTCATGTCCGCAGCGAGTTCATCATCCGAGCCAGAAATTTCGTCCATCTCGGAGGCTTCCTCTTCACTGGATACGATAAACCCGTCCAGCTTGTCCTTCTTGCGCTTCTTGCGCTTCCTCTCCTCCGTCTTCTTTTTCGCCGCATCGTCTTTTTGTGGTTTGCCTGTGTCGACCGCGGTGACCTTGAGATACTGCAGCCAATCGCGCAGCATGAAGACTTCCCTCGTGGCCTGGAGAACCTGCTCTGCAGATTGGGGAGCGTATTTTTGAGTCCAGCTAGCGGTGTCGCAAAGACCAAGGTCAAAAGCGGACATGGAACTGGTAAGCGAAGCGTGGAGTTTGGCGAGGGCAGCGTGACAAGTCTTATTCAGAGTACTCTTCTTCGTTCGTACAGATGAAGCTTGTTCGGAAAGTTGTCTGGTGACGGCGCATTGTAGGATCTTCCCACTGGCAACGTGTCTCCCAGGTATTCTGAGTATTCCTGACGCAGCGGAGGGGTTCTTGGGTAGCCGAAGTAAGAGGACATTTTCGTCGTCGGAGACATTGATCGCAGCAGTTTTGGACTTCTTCGGACCTAGGCCCCTCATGTCATCATTGAGGCTGTAGGATTCGAGATCGTCTGGTGTGCCCCTGACGTGTGTGAGGCCATGAGGTGGCCAGATTGGGTGCGCGAGTTCGGAGTATCTAGGCCGCTTAGCGAATGAAGTCGGTGTTGATGATCCTAAAAAGCTTGAGCTAGATTGGAGAGGGAATCTCGGCGTCGAGTCGACTTGCTTAGTGTCTTTTCGTTGGGAGTTCGGGGGGGTTGCCTCATGAGCGTCTATCTGAGTGTTGCAGTGATTCGCCTTTTGAGAGGACTTCTTCAGGAAGAACGGATGGGTCGCTTTAGCAGACTGCTCCTGTTTAGGTATAGAAGGGGCCGTGGTCTGGTGGAGAGGCTTTGTGGCTGCGATGTGTTTCTTCCGACCACTGATAATGTCGTCTATGAGCTGGGCAAGCCTATTCTCCGAATTCGCTTCCACATTGTATTTAATGATGACAACCTTGCTCCCAAGAGGCTGAGCCTTTTGGTCAGCTGCTTTGCCGCGTTTATTCTTCCTCCCCTTTCTCGGATTGTCCTCAACCCTAGCAGACACCGGCGACGACAATAATTTCCCATTGGCATTCAATTTAATTGTCTTCTGCCTGGGCGACCTTCTCTCCCCTGACGCGATTACGACCTGAGGATTGCTGGGTGGAGGGTTTTCAATTCCCGGACTGGTCGGTGTCTTAGGCTGTGACTCCCCGGATTCAGGCTTGGTTGAGGACGGATTGACCGTAACCTGTGTCGTCTCTGCCGGGTCATCTTTGTCTGTCTTCCTTCGTTTCCTTCGTTCGGAATTTGGATCATGATCGAGCATAGCTAACGAGTGGACGCGGGATGTGTCGCAAGATTCGGAGGAATTAGGAGGGTTGTTGATTTCTGAGATAGGCCGGGCACTGTCGCCGTGAGATAGTTGGGGCTGCGCGGCAGCATCATTGACGGGGTTATGGATAATTGGGTCGGGTGCTACTCCGAAATCTGCTCACAGTCAGCCTTTGTATGAACTGAATGACGAACAGGGGAACGACCTTTGCGAAAGAAGGGGTGGATAGCCCTCTGTTCGCCATGTCCAGTGGCCATCAATTGAGAGACTCCAGATGATGAGCAGAAGCTCATCACCTGAAAGGAGGTTGTAGGAGAGATAACGGAGAGAACATGTAAAAGAAGGACATGAATTGCGCGGAGACGGCTTCCGAAATAATTTCTAGATCATGATGTAGACAAGGAGAGTCAAGATGAAAGTGAGAGATGTTTGATGTTCTGGTGCGGTTGTAGTGATAAGCGGGCGGGCACCAAAAGACGCGCTGCGCGTGTTTCCGCGCCTTCAATTAAGGGCGGGATGAAAAGGCCGCCCGGGAGGGACTCGGCCTGCGGCCTGAGGCCTGAGGTCTGAGGCCTGAGGCTTTCTTGCGCTGCCCGGACGTCATTCCCGCCTAAGCCGCTTTGGGTATCGGCACCGGGGCCCGGAGCAACCATAAGCCCGGAAATTTTTCGGGGAGGCATACAGATCCATTTTCTTTCTGTGAAGGCCGACGCCGCAGTTTCATAGCGACAACGGTCGCAGTTTTGTCGCATACTCTGATCTCAACTGTCGCTACCATGGATTTGCAACCGCCGTCGGTGCTGGCTCAGTTGCCTCGCCCATTGCACGCCTCAACCGGCAAAACCCACATCGGCGATGTCTTCAGTCTGGCCGAGTCGAAAAAGCGAAAGAGACATGAAGTCGTCGTTGCGGCAGATGGTGAAGCCGTGAACATTTACAACGTATGTTGTCACTTGTCAATCAATCGCATAAGGATTTCCATGCTGACGATTTTGCCTCTGGATAGATTCAAACCCCCAAATTGGTGACCTCCTACGCCGTCCCGCCGCAATCATCCTTCACTTGCCAGCCCTGCTCGGTGCGCAGAAAGATCCCCAGCAAATCCGTGGTCAGGAGACAGACGTACATCGCCTTGAAGCAGCAGATCAAGGCATTCGTTGAAGAAAGTGGTGGCAATGGCTCCAGCGCCCCGGTGATTTCCTCCTCGTCCTACTCCGTTAGCGATTCAGATAGCCCAGTCAACTTCGTGGGGATTGTCCCTGGCCCTTCGACTGAGCAAGAACCTGAAGGCTCATTCGACATTCTCGCGGTTCACCAAGATGGTCGCGTCCGCCGACTCTCTCCCGATCTCAAGACCCAGCGGTGGAGCATGAAACACAGCGAGGTGACCAAGATCAGCTCGACACACAGCGTCAACGCCTGTTTCCTTGTTGAATTCGAGGATGCGAAGAAATCTCTGCTCAAGCGCCGTCAAGACCTGACGGCTTTGGCGCTCGGCAGCCTCACCGATAGCGGCGTGGATGAGCCTTCGATTCTGTTGGTCGTCTCGCACCCCAATGGATCCGATCCGGTCAAACTCAACGACATCAAAGTCCAGATGTTCTCCGTGCCCTCCGACGCTACCCTTCTAGAGCGCAGCATCGATGAAAGCCAGAAGATGAGACACCTGCTCACGATCAGCATCCCCGAGGTCAGCGGACAGGAGACCATTGAGCGCCAGGGCTCGCAGTGGTACTTCCACTCCGGATCGGCTGGACTGAACCTCTCGTTCCCACACGGACATATCAACTTCGATCTCTCCCAGTACGCCCCCACGCTGACGTCGAAGTTCATCCTCGAAAATGAGACATTCTCGTCAATCATGCGCATCTCGCCCCAATCCGTGATCGGTGCTGGTCAATCGATGATCGCCGTCTACGACACCCAATACCAGTCCATCCAGCGGAGTATCGCCGTTAGCGACGTCCCGGCGAGTGGCTCATCCAGCGTCAAGGCACCCACGACCTTCGTCAGTTACTTTGCCCGGTTGGGGGTCGCCCTCGCCACGAAGAACAACACTCTGCTGGCGTTCGACCTGAGCTCCTCGAGTCTCGCCGCCGGGCCCCTCAAACGCCCTCGCGACGGCCTCTTGATCGACGCCATCGGCCGCGGTATCGGACCCTCATACGCCCAGTCCGACCTTAGCTCGAAGAAGCTGCGAACCGAGGATGCCGCCGTCTTTGGGCTGACTGCCAAGCAGACCGTGCGGTGGACGCAGCTGACCAACGATCTCCGCGAGTGCGTCAAGGGCAACAATGCCAGCGCCTTCGACACGGCAGTGCAGCGGTTCTTCGGCGCCGGGGAGTCCAAGACCCTCCCGGGGCCTGGAAAGTTCGTCAACTCGGAACTGACGCTCTTCCTCCTGACCCTGATCTTCTCCCTGAAGGAGGAGAACAACACCCAAACCAGCAAGGACACGCTCTCCGCGCCCACCGCCTCCCGCCTCTCGATAGCCATCTGGCCCGAACGCACCTGCCAATGGCTCATCAACATCGGCCATCTTTCGCAGGCGAACGTCGAGATCGCCCTGCGCCGCAGCATCAAGCCGCGCATCCTGCAACCGCTGCCCGTGGGCTCCTTCGTGCAGGGGCTGGTCGACTCGGACCCGACGCTGCAAAGACTCAACAGCGTGCTGTCCGGCCGGGTGGTGCTCTCGACCGACGAGCTCGCGTACGCCCTGCGCCTGTTCCTCGACAAGGCGCGCTCCAGCGCCATCATCCTCGAGGAGGCGCGCGCCAAGCTCCTCACCTCCGGCGAAACGCAGCCCGATCACGATGCGGAGATGTCCGACTCCCCCGCCGACCCCTCCACAAACTCAGACTCGAACGCCCTCGTCACGACGACAACAACAACTCCAACGGAGCCCGCCACTCTCCACAACATCTACAAGGGCCTCAACACGACCCTGCACAAACTCCACACCCACCCGCCCGCCACCCTTACGACCGCCCTCCGCTCCGCCCTCACCCGCTCCGAACTGATCTCCATGGTCCACCACCTCCGCCTCTGCCTCGCCACCAGCGGCCACACCACCCGCTTCACCGAGAACCCGCCGACCCCGATCTCGCCGGACCAGACCAACCCCGCCCTGCCCCTCGACACCATCACCACCTGCCTGAACGCCGCCATCGACGCCATCGGCCCCTCGGGCTGGATCGCCGCCGCCGCCTCCCCCGGGGAACCCTTGGCCGAAAACAGCCAGGAGCTGATCGCCGACATCAAGTCCGAGATCTCCGCCGCCCTCGCCGGCGTCGAGGAGGCCACCTACCTCACCGGCATTCTCCGGGAGTACCTCCGCTACACGAATAGCGTCAAGGCCACCACCACTGCCGTCCCCACCACCGCCGTTGCTGAGACGGCAGTCATCCCCGCCACCGAGCAGCCCGTCACCCCCGCCAATGTCCGGTACGAGAAACTCAACGGCGCCGACCTGGTCATCTTCGGTGCCGGCGACGGCGAGGAAGGCGGCGCCGGCGGCGAGGCCGCCGGTGGGAAGCTGTTGCCCCTGTCGCTCAAGGCCGCCGCCCACGACGTCAGCAAGACCAAGGTCAAGAAGGAGACGGGCGAGGTGAAGGCCCGCAGTAGTCGAGAGATCGGGTACCTGCGGCGGAAGGCCGTGGGGAAGTATTCTTTCGAGAGGCTGTTTGTATAGTTACGTACCAAAAGAACCAAAGTGGAATTGGGGACGACGACGAGGAGAGAGAAGAGAGATTGTATGCGGACACACATACTTTACTTACATATATTACTGGATGGATAGAAAAAGTGACGTCTTGGTTGTGCATTATCATCTTTTGCGTTAGGTTGCGGGGCTGTAGTAGAGTGTAGTTTGTTCAGTTGTCTCGTTTGTCCTTTTGACTGCAGATGGTCTATGCCAATGGGCTTTACCGGTAATTCAGCTGCTGATGGCAAATTATAAGAACTTCCTACTACTGCAAGCCACTCATTCGTCCCCGAACTACACTCTGCATCTGCTTGCCCCTACATTCAAAAACTTCGAACGTGTCCGATCATCGCACATTGTATTCGCATATGTACAGGTTGTATCTCAAGTATATATGTGCACAGCTATCAAAAGGGTCCGGCGTATGCCACCCGTCATGTCAGTCTCACATCGTACTGCTGATCCAGGGTATCGTGACAATTCCAACATTTCGGTCGTTAGGCCCACAGTTTCTCTCTCATGTCCCACCAAGTCCTGCCTGTCCAAAATCAACAATAAAAATAAACATCAAACATCGTAGATCGAGCCTTTCGTTCACAAATACATAAAAATCAACTCTCGATATCAAGTACAGAACGCACAAAATAATCATATAAAATCACAGTGGGGCACTTGCGTGATAGCGTTAACGTAACGAAGGGTGGTGGTGGCATAGCGCACCAGCCCCTCCAGTCTGGCAGCATCGCTGGGTTCTCACCAGCCAAGGCACAGGGTAACTTTTGTAGGGGGATTCTTCAAGATTCTTCCAGAAGGATCAGGATTGTATAAATAGGCCCGAAAGACGCATCAATTCATGGTTATGTCGTCCAGCAAAACCACTCTAGGAATAAAATGATGGCAGACCGGTAGCACTGCATCGTCGGTCGTGTGATTTGTCCGCAAGCAGAAAGAATATTATAGCACGCACGAGTTTGAGGCAGAGGCATCGAGGCTAGTTACCCCCAAGAGTTGAGTTGTGCGCTCGTTCCTTCAGCCGCAGAGCTTGCGCTTCAAGGGATCGAGCCATGATCTTGATCATCGGCCAGACAGCGGCCCGGTCGAGAAGACTGGCTGTAGCAACCAGGATCTTGCAGCCGTAGCCGCCCTCCACAACACTTGGCAGGCGCTGGAGAACGCTGAGAGCGGACGTGGTGACGCTGCTTTGCACCTCTCTCTGCATCTTGTTTTCGATGTTTCCCAGAATCTCCTTGATCTTCTCTATGAGTTTGCAATCTTCGTCTTCCAGCAACAG